AATTCAAATAGCTTCTAAAATATTAATTTTTAAAATATTTTTCTTGTGCCTCCTATCAATAAGTAATGCCACTTAATTTGTCTATGCTTTTAGCTGATTTACAGTATCATGAACATGTAAAGATTATTTAATGAGATTTTGTAGAAGACTGCAACTTATTTTTACTTAATGCATGTACTGTGACAATATAGCTAACATGAAAATATGGCTAATATGGTCATTCTTGGTGCCCTTTAGGTAAACTGGTAAAAATAATCTCCTTTTATCATCAGAGTGAATGAAACATAACCTTTTTCATATTATGTATGTCAGTGGAGGGGGATGTATCACTTGGAGATTTCCTTACATTTTCCTACTTTGGTAGTAATGCTCAGCGTTCAGGGAGAGCTGAATATATGCCATGGGAACAGAAGCTGTCAGCAGAAGTCTGCATGTCATTTGGTGCCAGTTCTGGGAATAAGAAAAGAATTAAAATCCTTTCCTCTGGAATGAAGCAATATTTTAAAAGTGTGTATAAGTTAATAAGCAAAATGTGATGTTGAACCCAACTTTTCACTTCACAAATGAAATTAAATTCATTGCATTTTTTAAGGGATTAAAAATCGTTGAGTATATGAATGTTGGCATTCTGATTTTGCTCATCCTTTTCCAGTGGTAAAGGTAAGAGACAAGAGCTGTGCACAGCCTCTCCTTTATTATCCTGATATGTCTCCTGGCATTTCTCTGGTATGAATTATGAAAACCCTAAGCCTATTTCACTGCTGCTCTGTGCACTTTCTTGTTCCATATTGAGGTGATCCATGTTCTGCAGTTGTTTATACCTGCTTGTCAAAATTGTTCTTGTTACTTGGCTTTTACCATTTCTGAACATGAAGCTGACAGCAATTATTTTGCCAGTATTCACTGGGAAAGCTTTTAGCAAAAGAGAATTGCTGATTGTAAAGTGTTTTAATTCAGAGAAAGAAGCTAAAATCCATGCACAGGAGACTTGATAAGAATGAACATACCAAGACAAAATGGGTTCCCGCTGCTGTGGCAGATTGGGTTTCTTTCTGGGAAAGAAGCAGATTTCAGCCAAAGTGTACTTTTCCTTTTCAGTGGTTTCTCCACAAGAAGTTGCTTTGATATTCTTTGCCAAATCACTTGAGACTCAAATTTTTATTTTGATTTTTAAAATTGAGTATATGTTGTTTTCTAATTTTTTTGTTCTTCTTCACTTTCAGTTCAGAAAATAGTTCTCTTTTCTGAATGCTGTAGTTGAAATGCTTCCACTCAGTGTCCTGTAGTACAGCTGTTTGTACTTCAGACAAATGTTATTTCACATTCCTCAGGTGAGCTGTGTGACTGAGCACAGCCTTTCCCTTTGATTCCTTTCCTTCAAACAGCCCTGCCCATTTTCCCAAGAAATGAGGCTGTAGTGCTGCCAGCAGGGAGGTGCCTTTTCCTGTGGGAACCCAGCCCATCCCTCTGGCTGTCCAGGACGGCCAAGACCCTGCCAGGGGCCTCAGAAGCCCTGGCATGGACCCCAAAACACCTGTAGGTTTGATTATGACCCGTGGAGCAAATTACCAAAATTATATGAAGACCAGCAAGCCACAACAGTTTAGGTAGAATAGTAGTGAAGTTATCACGGGTTGAAAAAGTAGATTTTGGGGTTTCTAGAACGGGGATTCAGGAGGCAAGATGGAGGGATCTGGGTGTGTCCAGTCCTCCTTCTTCTTGGCCTCCATTTTCTTCTGTGATGTTGGCACTTACAGATTGGTTTAGAGTAGAAGCTCACTGTCTAACATAGGTGATAGGTTTTGGAAAGTAATTGTAGACATTGTACACAGTTTTTAGTGTAAAGACATAACACTGCCCCAGGGGCAGGCAGAATGCCTCTGGCTGTCATACTGAGTGGACCTTTGCAGGACAGGAAAAAGCATTTTATAGATAAGATACAATAAACAGCCTTGAGACCCAGAAATAAAAAGCCATGACTCCTTCTTCAAGCACCAGGCTGGGAAAAGAGACTTTCCAGCTTTTCTCGGGGTCAGTCTGAGCAGCTAGAGATACCAATATTTTACACCCTCTCAATCCTTGCAGAGCAGCTGCATCCTTATGGAAGTGTAAAATATGAGGTTATAAGATGTTATTCCATGATTTTCCGGACAATGGCATTAGTTTTAGGAGTTAAACCTCCTCTGATGCCTGCTTACAGAGACACTGGTAAGTAGCAAGGTCACAGACACAGTTTCCCCATGGTGACACTTGAGGTGGGTGAGACCATGGCGCAGGCCTGCTGTTCTTCACTGTTCAGCAGTTCCTGTGTGCCCTGACTGTGCTGGTGATGGCACATCTTGGGTTCGGGCTGTGCTAATGGGTGTGCACTTCTGTAATGCAGGAGCATCAGTATTACTGGCAGAGTGAAATAATGGTAGCAGGAAACCCACGAGGGCTGGGGTTCCTTAGCAGATCGTCCTTGGTTTCATCAGTCTGAATCTGGCTGTTTGTGCATCCTCCCAGTGTCAGCCTCTACCTAAATGGAGTCCAATGTTTGCTTTTATTGTGAATATGGTAATGATAAAGCCAAGTCAAAATAGTGAATGTACAAGTTTCCACCCTGTAAATTGCTGCTGTGCATGCAGAAGTGGTGCTTGAGGCAGTTTCTGGGTGTTGAGAGCATAAACCCCCTTGGTGTTGCTTGTTCCTGTAGGATCCTTAAGGTTGTAGAACTGATTGATTTTGAGAGTTGTTGGATTCACAGCTGCTGGTGTGATCTTAAACAGCTTCTGTTGTCTAAATCATGACAAAGATTGTGGTTACCCCCTGCTTTTTTTATAGGCATCTGGGTTTTGGTGGTTTGGGGTTTTTTCCAAGAAGGTTTTGGCTTTGGCAAATAAGTTTGTGTTTTATGCCTGGGTTTATAATTTCTCAGGGGAGAACCTTGGCCTCTGAAGTGCACCACTAGACATACAAAGAAAAAGTTGTGTTGCTTATGGCTTTGGATGCTTCAATAATAGTGGTGTGGTTGACTTAAGTTGAAATTTGAGCATTGTTTCTCTGATGTTACTTAGCTTCTGTTCACAGATCAATTAGAAAATTGATCTGTGAACATGGCAAGGCTGCAGGGGGAAACAGTTTTATTTCTGCTTTTGCCATAAACAATGCTGTATGTGAGACTTGGTTACTTCTCTTCAACATGAGCTTTTCATTGAGATCTCCATTTAAATGTTGGTTTGAATTTGATTTCAAAAAATGATCTTGTAGCTCCCAATGAAATAAGTTAGAGCAATATCTACTTATCAAAGTGCTGGGTGTTTTGAAAAGTCATTTCTAAAAACTTTCATACTGCATGAATTCATGTTTACTTTTGAACTTCATCTCTTCAAATGTGCAGTAGTCCATTTTCCAAAGATGCTGTAAAAAGAAGAGTTTGTACTGTGTTGCTAAGCTATATGGAACAGCCTGCAGAGAATTACTAAATCAGACTAATGTATGAAAAAAATGCAGAGAATGAGACTGGAAGCTGCATATGAGCAATGAGGTTAAAACTAATGGCTGAGTAGAGACTCACTGAGGAGCAAGCGCTTGTTTCATTGTTTGGATAAGAGGGCATTGCAACAGGAAAAAACCCTTTGGTAGATATAAAGTGTATACTGTGATAACCTGTCTGTTCCAGGGACATAAAGTATAAGGTTGTCAGGCAAGTCTTGATTTTGTGGAACTCAGCTAGAGTTGGTAACTTTAGTCCCTCTCTATCTTTTACATGTAAATGCTTTATTCGGTCTTAATTCAGGTGTTCTTATTTGAGTACAATGCTGGTCGCTGCTCTGTATGTGGAGGGGATGTCACAAGACCTTACAGTAAAATGAAGCACAAATATACGAAGAAATTAATTAATAGTTTTTTTTTGGTTGTTTTTCTTTTTTTACATAATGCAGAATGGGAGGAGCAGTTAATGATGTTAGTCATGACAGAGTTTGATTGACAAGTGATGAAATTGCTTCTATTTCCACTGACAGATAAGAGGTTTTTTGACAGCTCTGTGGAGTTTGTTCTTTGTTAATGTGACAACAGTTCTAATGTAATTAAAATTATTCTTGAAGTGCTACATGGAAATTAATTTCAGAAAGAGAGGAAAGATACTAAGGTACTTTCTGCATGTTTAATTGTGCTAAGAAACTGTTCAATTTTTTTTAAGTTCTGTTACCAAGTAATTTGTGCTCTTTTATAATAAAAAGGTGAATATGTGCTTCAACAGACTTATCAAAATTGCGTTTTGGTTGATGATTTTTTCTTTGCCATTCCTGTGAAATGAAAAATGTCAAGATCAGATCCAAACCTTATGCTGGTTACTGAATGTCTTGATTTTTTTTTTTCTTTTTTAAATTCAGAATTTAATTATAGAGTGCAAATATTATACCTGCAGTAGCGTGAACTGCGCTTCCTTTGCTTTTGTTAGATACTGCATTCCTTAAAAAATGTTAATTAAGTGGGTATGTACTGAAGTTAAGAACTAGATCAGAAGATAAGTAAAAAAGTATTTGGTCACAATGACATGCCTTAAAATACTAAACGTGGGAAAAGGAAGTAGAGTGTTTGAGGCAGCCACAAGTTGATGTTAAAAGGGACTGGCTTGAAACTTGTCACACAACAGTTTGGTTTCTTTTATGTTCTCACCTGGGTGTCCAAGCCAAAGCACTTGGCCCATGTGGAAAAGGGGAAGTGCTACAATGCACTGCTCCTCATCTGCTGTCAACAGGCTAGAAATGCCATCTTTTAGGGAGAACAAAAATATCTTACAGTCTGTTCAGTGAAATTACTGTAGTGCTGCATTTTTGGTTCAAGTTTACTGATCTACTCTCTACTTACGGACCTTCAGAAAATGCAGTACAACTTGAGAACATGTAGCCTCCAATTTATAGTTTCTGAAATGAGATGCTGTTTTGACTTTCTCTGTGACTTTCTCTATAAAAGGCGGCTCTTCAGGATTCTTTCTGATATTTTTTATTTTTTTTTCTCCTACCCCTTAAGATCGTGCTGGAAGCATCAGTACTCTTGATTCTTTAGATTTTGCAAGATACTCTGATGATGGCAATAGAGAAACGGATGAAAGAGTAGCAGGTAAGTGTTCTATATGTTTTAGGAATCACAGAATGTTGATTTTTCTCTTTAACTTGTTTTCTGTTTAACTTGTTTCTAGCTTAAGTATATTTAAATTAACATTTCTGAAGGTGACAGGATTTCACTGAGGTGGTTTAACTAGTTGCTTGATGTTGGACACTTCTGCTGCAATTTCTGTAACTATTCAGGCAGGTGTACTTGTGTATGATTCCAGATGTCACCAGTGCAGAAACACCCAGTATACCTGAAAATTGTGCCCAGCCTTTGGCAATAGAACTGTATCCTGGTATTGCCTGCTGACTACTACTGTTAAGCTGAAACATTCACTAAATTACTCTACATAGTGGTCTGTTGCTACTGTGTGGGTTAGAGCTTTCTGACATAAAGATCTATTGCAAGTCATCTCTTAAACATAGCCTTCATTGAGATCAAATAAGCACCTCCAAACCCAGAGCAAATTTGGGATTTACTCAGTTTCATAAATCTTCTTCACTACAAATCTTAATTCTAGTGCTTTTTTTTTTCCTATTTGATTCTTTGGTTGTATAAGGTTGGGGTTTTTGCCTTTTTTTCTGAGTCTTTGGCACTTTTAATTTCAGGATCTATTACATCACCAACATCTCTTATGTTAGAAATTATTTTACTAACCACTTTTGCATGTGAGCCATGTTTCTCTGTCCAGGTTTTTTTCCAAATTCATATAGTAAGTTATTCTCAGCTTCTACAGAGAAATCCATAAAAGCTCTCTAGAAATGGCTACAGAGCTCTCTCTAGTTCTTGTCAGTTAGTAGTATTCAATATCCTGAGCTAATGGAAGTTGTCCATGCTGGGACTTCAGCTCACATGGTTAAGCTTTATGAAACCTGAGGTGATGCAGGCTGCCATGTCTCTCTTCCACCCTATTGTCTCTACTCTGAAACTCCAAGCAATGAAAAGGCTGACAAAACATAGTTCTGTAAAGGATCTTCATTCTGAAATTTCATCTCTGGGTCAGACTGAAATGTGGGAAAATCTCATTTTTCTTACCCAGCCAGTGTTGCTGAGTTAAAGGACTGGATTAAATTCGCAAACTCAAAGCAAATCCAGGTGTTTTGGTGTTCTGGTCTAGTACTATAGGAACTTAGTGTTCTTCAATTTGTATGGAAACTTCTGGATTCTTATTACTATTTAGCTACTCTCTTTTTCAATATACATAGTTCTTTTTAACGAGGCAGTGGTTGTAAATAGAAAGCTAATCTTCCAAAAAAAACGGTGTTTAAGGAGCCCAAGCCTTGTGAATTGTGTCCTGGAATGCAAGGAAGAAACAAGCAGAAATCCCAGTATTTTATTTATTTTTGGTTTTGTAAGAGATTTTTCTTAGTTCTAGTCCGTATTTCTTGGCAATAGTGTTACTGAGAGAGCTGGTTTGATTCTTGCTTGGAGCTGTCCTTAGAATTGGATTAGAGATGCTTACAGAAAATATAGACCAGTCAGAATTGACATCCAATAGAACCAGAAATCTTCTGACAAAACATTAGTGACAAAATATTGGTCACTTCCAGTATGAAATTAATATAGCCTAAAATTAGGTGTTAAGTTTAAGTAAATAGTAAAATTGATCAATATTTTTGATAATTGCTATATAGTGATTGACTGCTGTCATATGTAATTGATGAGGAAATTGTATGTCAGGATATTTACAGTTCTGTGTTCCTTTAGAGGTGTTTCTCAGAGTTCTTAAAAAATAACATAACAACTTGAACGAAATGAGATTCAATATTATTTCTGGATGTTTTTAAAGACTGGAAGTTTTCAAAAATATTTTCTTTGTACTTAAAATTCTGGTTCAGTCATAATTGCTTAAAATATTTTGCCTCAGTCATGTTTAAAGCTATCTTCCTGAGCAATTTCAAAAACTGATAAGTATTTATTTTGTACATTAAGAAATTATGTCAACAGAGGTTTCAAAAATTTTGCAAATCCAGTTCCTTCTTTAAACAAACTCTGGCTTATAACTTCTGCTTTTGAAGTTGTTCTTAGCTGCAAATGCACTTTGAAACCTAACTGGAAGTCCATCTTGCTTATTTGTTTCTTCTAGAATTCTTTCTTTTCTGTTAATAGCTTTGATGCTTAGGAGATTAAAATTGTAATCTGTTGTGAAAGCTTGGGGCCATGAGCCAATAGTCGTCTTTTTCTTCTGATAGTTCTGAAGGTGAGGTTTGAGTCATTTCTCTTTGTAAATGCCTTTCTCTTGCTCCTATCTTTGTTTTTTACTGTTTGGACAGAACACATGCTTTCTTTATCCGTTCCCTATCATATCAAATGAAAGATAGGACATAAATGCACATAAGTCACCAAATGAAACTGCTGAACTGGTTCTGAGTCAGAAGGACTTTAAAACTGAGGTTATTACATACCCACTTTGCAAATACTTTTGTATCTTGACTATGTTAGAAAGCCCCAAATCAAAAAATCTGTGCAGATATCATCATCCAAAGCCACCATATTCCATTTGCCCATTATGAGTAGTGTAGACTTAGCTGCTATTTTTTGTTTGTTTGTTTTAACAGTTCAAAAATTCCTGGAAATAATTGTATCAATTCTTGTTTGAAATTGATTTCAGTACTTAAAAGCTATTAGCCCACTTCATTCCATCTGAAATTAGAATTAAAATTTGGCCTAGAAGCAAGCATGTTTTGAGGAGTTGCTGAAAAGAGTTTTTCATTTGGGAAATCTGCTGGAAGGGATCTGAGTCCCTTCTATAATATTATCACTTGCTTGACTGAAAAGATGGAAGTCACAGAAGCCAGTCAGGATGTGGAAAAGTATGACAAAACTAACTGCAATTTAGAAAACAAATTTTCTTCTTTATCTACCTGATCTTAATGAAAATGAGAGTTATGTAACAATTTGGATTATACATTTGTAATCCACTAGGAGATGAAACAAACCAAAATGCATCCTTACAGCTTGCGGTTTACTAGATGGAAACAACTTTTTCTCTAAGACTGGTAACTTTTAAATCCAAAGTCATGTATTCAGTGCTTGAAATAATTGCTCCTAGGATAGACTCAGTACTGAAGGATTTGTTAGGGGTAGTAGACCTCCTCCAAGTGCTCATAATTTCCAGAAAGCAGCTAGAGAATGGGAAACCTGCTCCCTTCCTGTGTAATAAGGGTACACCTAACTTGAATACCCACAGGATTTGTTTAAAATGTTGCCTCACATTCAGTCTAAGGAAAATCTTCTGCCACATCTTAAATTTGCCATGGTCTAAACCCCCTACTTTGCATAATTCAAAATGTTTATTATTGCTAACCTGCCTTTGTCATCAACTCAAAAGATGAGAATGTAATAATTTTTGAGAATTTAATAATTTCAAAAACACATGCTGAGCTTTCAAAGATGATAAAATTAATTCTTATAATCAAACTCCATTTCAATCATAAGTATTCTCAGATTTCCCTGTATTTGCATTGATTTCTAGCTAGTCTGTGGGCCTCTGATTAGAAAAATAAGATTTGAAAGGAGGGAACCAGTTCAAAAACCATTTATTTTTGACAAGTTAATTTTTCTGGACTCAGGTTCATAGTTTCTGCTTTTTACAGAGCCTTTTTTTGGGTTTTTTTAGTAGGCACTATTAAATTGCGCACACCAAAATCAGAGGAAAATCTTTTAAAAAATCAAAACTTAAAAACAGAGCACAAAAGGCATCTTAGTACAACAATCACTTGTTAACATTGTGTGTGTACTTTGTTCATCCCAAAAACAGATCTGGTTTTGTCTTCCCATTGCCTGTCTTAAACCTGTGAAGGAGTTGTAAGCCTCTTAAATCTCCTTCCAGGTTGAAGGTTGTTCTTACAGAAGGTCTCCAGGGGCTGAAACTGCGGACAAGTCTGCTGTAGTTCAGGTCTTCTCTGTGGGTGGTCCTGTCTCATTAACTTCAAACCTTCATTAATGAGGCTCCTGAGTCAAGTGTTGGCCTCCCACTATTGGAGTGACAAGTTCTCTGTCACTTGCTCACGAATCTTCCTGCTGGTCTTTATTTTTGTATTGTGGTAGTCATATCTTGTGCTAAAGTACAGCTTTCTGATTTGGGGCTATTTGTGTTTTGTGCTGAAGTGTTTCACATTTCAAGGCTGCCTTTTTTCTTCCATCATACAAAAGAGCTTGTAAGAGTATGAAAGTGAGGAAACCTGGGTAAGCAAAGGGGCCCTTGATACTTCAGAAAAAAACTATTTTTAAAAGAAAATGTCCAAATGCCATATAGTGGCTTCACAACACAAAACTACCCTTCTACCATTATCTGAAGTACTGGGTACTTCACAGTGAAATATGCAAAAATCTGAACAAGGTATTCTAAATGTAGATTATAAAATTCTAGTGTAATTGGAAATACTACTGCTTACACAAATGCTGGATGATTTTAGAAGTACTGTTTATTTCCTCAACTTTTTGGCCTTGGTTCAACAAGACTGCTGTTCATGTAGATCTCAACTAGTCCAATCCCAATTGTAGGTGGTTCTTTGTAGGTATCTATGATCCCATAGCTTATGAAGTCATTAACAAATATGAGTCAATAGAGTAAGACCCTTGAGAAATCTTAATTTTGAAATTTCAAAGCTCAGCAGACAAGCTACTCATTCCTGAAATGCAATTCTCTTTCAAGTTAGCTTCATGAAAACTGAAACATTTAGAAATTGCTGATCTGAAAACCTTGGTCCAATTACTTCATTGCTTGCTTGAAAGATTCAACCATTATAAGTCAGGCTTTGTAATTTTTTTCAGGATAGTAGCTGTAGTGATTAGAAACTTTTAATAACAAAAAAGCCATTTAAAAGCCATCACTTTTTATTAAAAGAGCCATTGAAATTTGCATAGTTTTCTCCCCTAAGGCAAACTAACTTGTTCAGAAATGCCCTTTCCTTGTAGGAAGATGACCCAACCTCAAGGCTCTAAATTTCTATTCTTTGCTTTCCTGGTGCAGAGGAGTATCTGATTCTTTCCTTTCTTAGGCTGTCTGCAGCAAAACTTTTGTGCATTATTGTTAAGGAGTGTCAGCCCCTACACCAAGTGCTGGCAGTTGTACGTTTTATCAGCCTAGTCAAGCATGAAGGTGAACTTTAGCTTGGCTTGGTCAGTGCTTCTGAAGGCATAGCTTCAGCTTTGTAACAGGAGAGGGGGAGAGGCATCAGGTCATTTGTATTAAAAGTCAATAGTTCATAATTATTACAAATAAAGGGATTAAAAGGTTTTTATGTAAGAGAATGCTATAGAATCAACAAATGGGAATTACTAATATTGATATCATTGGTAGATAGGTTGAATTAAAAATTATTACGTGTTTTGGCAGAAGACCACATTTCAGTATAACTTAAAGAGCTTTTAATTGCAGTTTAACATTTGACTGAAGTTAATGTAACAGCTGTTTTCATGTATAATTGTATAAACACCTATAAACTTCTTAAAATAAAAGCTACATTTGTGACTGAGTTGAAAGCATCAAGGTTTGTATGATGGCAATTATCATGGCGCCATTAGTAAGATTAGATGAGGTACAACTGTAACAATGCTGTGTTGTGGTGGGATTATGTGGCTGTTTCGACATGCTACCAAGGGACAGCTTCTCAAATATACTGTGTCTAGAATCTTCTACTATGTAACAGAAACATGCAGCAGAGTAATCTACTTTTAAGGTTGAATGGGTAAAGTCCTAAAGATTTCCAAGAATTGTCAGCATCGTCACAGTTCACTAAAATTCAATTCTTGCCGTCTGACATGGGTTTGTCTGACATGAGTTTTTTGGCTTTCTATGCCTTCAGACATGTCTTATTCCTATTTTCCTTAATTGGATACCTGAGTTTTTATAGTTTGCATTGTTTTTCTAACTTCTTTTATTTTTTATATCATTCTAGTTCAGGGCACTCCTGATCTGCAACTGTTCTGGTCTTCGAAAATATTTTACAAGATTAAAATGATAACACATAGTTATTTCCATAAGAAAAATTTCTAAATTTGAGTTCTTTAAAATTTTCAAAAAGTAACAAATTAGTATCTTACAGCTGTGAATAAGTATCTCAAATGCAAGGAAGTGCTAAAATTAGGTACTTACTTTATCATGAGAGCGTTTTCTACCTTTGTTGCACAGAAGTATTTGCAGATCAGCATTGCTGAATACTAGAGAGATTTTACATATTTTATTCATTGTATCCTCAGTTGCGCTTTTGTATTGCTGCAGTAAAATTCTGTGCATCAAACAAGTTACTTTCATGTAGCAAATGTGGTGTACTGTAGTAACTCCTTCAGTTTTTATGCAGAACTGCAAACTGAGTGAATCTTTTTTCCATGAGTGCCAATTACCACGGGTCTTAGTTACAGATGCTCAAAAGAGGAACTGGTTTTATTTGCAGCCTTCAGTAACATTTTTTACCAGCAAGGGCCAATGCAGTGTTTCTGCTGTGCCTTGTGTTCTGTGTAAATATTTCAGAATGTCATGTTAAATTGTTTCCAGGCAGTGATTAAAGACCTCATTGAAACTTTCTTGTTAAAAGTCACTACAAAATTTTTCGGGTTTTTGGGGATAAAGTAGATGTTAAATTATTCTAAATAGGTCATCTAACACTTCAGCATGTTAGGTGTTCTGTGGTCATCTCTACTAGTTAAGAGTCCTTCCTTCTGGTAAATGTATATTTCAGTGTGATTAGATTAATCTGAGAATTAGTGAAATGGATGTATTTATCTTATCATCTCTTAAATAGATTTCCTTAGATGTTCCACATGTAAATGACTATTAAAAGAATATTTGCTATATGTTTTGCAAAGCTCCAGGGGGTTAAAATTTGACGTCACTATATATGTACGACCTTAGCATCAAATCATGAAATCCCAGTGCACACAAATCACCACTGGCCCTTTTTGGAGAAAACATTGGAACATGAGAAACAAATAAGAGTGACCAGGGAAGTGGAAAGGTGAATTAAAAGAGAGTGGAGAACTAGAATTAAGTATTTTTGAATTTAAAGCTGACTCTAGGTCTTTGAAAATCTATGTAAACTTTCAAGAATAATGGTGCAAAGACTTTTTTCCTTTCAAGCTTTTTTTATAAGTACTGCAGAAGAGCTGCATTTTTTGGATGTTTTTGGTCTTGTATATCTCTCTTCATTTGAATTCAGTGAACTGAATTCAAAATGCTAATCAAGTATGGGACATTCCTAAAACTCCACTATTTTTAAATAGAAATGTAAAGTTACTTTTTTTTTTTTTTTCAGTAAGATAAAGTATATTTCAAGATCCCCCATTTAAACTACAAAAATTTTGGTGTATGGTTTTATTTTCCAAATCAAGTCTGTGGTATCAGTGGGATTGTACATTCACTTCATGGTTTAAGCTTTGCTACATGGAGACAGCTTCCTCTGCTGCCACAACATGCTTGTTTCATTTAGATCTGTGCTCTTATTGCCCACATACTCCTCTTGCCCCCCCCAAAAAACCAAAACATTTGACAGCATCAGTTCCCAAATATTTTCCCAAGACCTTACAGCGAGTCCTTGTCAGACAGCTTGAAATTTTGACTTAGCTGAGCTAAAGCCAGTGAAACTATGGAAAATGTTCACCAGTTTGCTTTCAGACCAACTCTGCTGCATGTGTTCATAAATTCCATAAAGATTGCATGCTTTATGTTTAATACAAACGGTATCTTTTTTTTCATACCCATCCTTGCTTTTTATATTTTATTTTTGTTTCCCTTGCCTTGGTTGGATGCCTGTGTGTGTTTAATCCAAATCCCTGTCCAGTCCTGGAGTTTGAACTACGGAAAGCCAAGGAGACCATACAGGCCCTTCGAGCCAACCTGACTCAGGCTGCAGGTGGTGTACATAAACCTTTTCTTAAGTCTCTACTTTAAACAATGTAGAAGTAGCTGAGCTCATCATCTGTGAGAGAGTAAAATTTAGTTCCTTCTTTTTTCCTCCCCAGAAAATGAAGTTCCTTTGCAGGAACGAAAAAATTATAAATCAAGTCCTGAAATTCAGGTAGGTGGTTGGTGATAAATGAACTTTGCATGGATTTTAATATGAATATAACAAGCTTCCATAGTTGGAAGGAAGATAAACCAAAGATCTAGTGTGTTGTCTTTTTCTTTCCAGGAGCCAATCAGACCTCTTGAGAAAAGAGCTCTAAACTTCCTAGTTAATGAATTTTTATTGAAGAATAGTTACAAGCTTACATCAATAACATTTTCAGATGAAAATCATGATCAGGTAAAATTTCCTTGTGGGTTTGAGGTTTTTTGCACGCCTGCTTTCCATATTGTGATCTTGTCATAAACTCAAGTGAACTTAAGTGGTTTTTCCTGTGCATGCAGTTTGCTTCATATATATGAGTACTCTAAAAGTTAAATATGTTAGTTAGCATTTTCATATATAAACCATGGTTTGAAGACACAGCAGTTTGAGCAGTAGTTTCCCAAAATTTGTAGGAAGTAGAGTGCTTGCATTCTTTTAAAGGAAGCAAAAGAAGAAGTGAAATACTGTGCGTTAGATGTTTTCCTTGTATTCTAGTGTGACACACATTCACTGGAAGTCAAGGATCTGGATCTCAAATGTAATCTATTCCTTAGATCCTATTCAGTTGACTTGTACAGGGATATACAATTTACTCATTGGTTGTCTTCTCGGGATGTGTATGTGTGTGTGTGAGAGTACTTAATCACCTGTGGCATTGAGTACAGTATTGAATAAGCTCTTGGTAATAAAGTGTTATCCTGGCTCTTTCCCAACATAGCTATGCTTTGATGCATTTTTCTTAAGATGGTCAGTTTTATATCTCTGTTGGCTTACATTTGATGGCAAGAATGTTTGGAAGGTTCTAATTACGTTCCGTTTCTGGGTAGACAAAGCATCCTGTAATATCAACACCCAATATGTATTCATCACAAAATGGGGATATTACCAGAAGAATTAAATATGGAATTTCATCCAGTTTTATGGGAAACTGGTCTCCTAAACTTTTCCTACTTTTCATATCCTAATCTGTGGAGCAAATAGGTTGTTAAATAGAATTTCTGAATTTTCCATCTCCACTGAATATTTGCACTTAACATCCAAATACTTGTGAGAATACAGACCCCAAAAAAGAAAAGATTGACAGTCTGTTCTATTTGTGCTCTCGACTGAGAAGTTTTTGTTTTGTGAGACAATTAGCAAAAAGCAGAATTCTTAATTCTAAAAAGTAAATATAAACATACTGAAATTACTGTATAGTAGACACATTTTTTTCTATGTTATTCATATAGTTATTTGAGAAAATAATATTTCTTCAAAGAAATGTATGTGACCAGACTATGGAAAAAATAATAGTGAAGACTGGGAACAATAGGAAAAAAGTTTAAACCAATACTTTAAATTTAAAGTCGTTAAAGAGACCATCACAACTCCTGTGCAACAGTGCACAAACTTACTTGTATATACAGACATGAAATATTCTTGTGTTAATAGGGTGATAAGATGTAAATGAGAAAAGGAAGAACCTGTTTGAGACAGGAGGCCCTTGTGTTGTTTGCACCTCACTATCAGTCTTCTACAGAGCTGTTTAAGCTGTATTAGACATCAGGAGGAAATTCTTCATGGGGATGTTAAATGTTGGAATGGACTGCCCAGGGAGGTGATGGAGTCACTGTCCCTGGAGGAGTTCAAGAAATGACTGCATGTGGCACTTAGTGCTCTGGTCTTGTTCACATGGTGATGATCAGTCAAAGGTTGGACTTGATCTCAGATGTCTTGTCCAGACTGAATGATTCTGTGATACTGTGCCTGTCTTCCCTAGGGAAATTAGACCTGCACTTGTGAGTGAAATGGGAACAAAACCAATATTTCTGCCTTGTATCAGCTGCATTGGTTTCTGCTAGAATTTGAGCAACATTATTTCTGATTATAAAAAGTGTTCATGTGTTAGCAAAAGAGAAAGTGACCTATGTGGTTGGAAAGGTACTCTCTCTAGTATGTTGCCTAGAGCTGCCTTTGTGGTCAAACTGCTTTGATTCACAAAGTGAATCCTTCCTCTACTATTGTTTCTTGCTGAGTTATTCTTCTATCTGATTTACTGCAATGCAGTCTTGATGTGATTATTTTGCTATTGCATCACCTGTGGTCAAATGAGGAAGAGAAAAGAAAAGGAAGTATATTCTATGCTTTAGTTTCTTTTATTCTTTTGAAGGATTTTGAACTTTGGGATGATGTAGGATTGAATATTCCAAAACCTCCTGACCTGTTACAACTGTACCGTGACTTTGGAAACCATCATGTTGCTGCAAGAGATGTGGTGGACGCATCAGTTGGTGTAGAGGATGACGAGTTAGAGGCTGACACTCCTATACTTGGGACCGTCCCTGTGTTTGAAACAGCACCACAGTCAATAGAAGTAAGACTGCACAGGAGAAATGTTGCAGCTGTTTGATGTACTGCTTAACTTTATTGTACTAAACTCTTCTGTTTCTGTCTTGTGTTTAGCAATGTTTAATAGTGCAAAAATTAGAAGATCAAATTAGTGTGTTAAACAGTGAGAAATGGTCTTTGATGGAACAAATCCAAAGACTTGAAAGGTATGTTCTTATCAACCTACTTGACTCTTGATAAATGTTGGAGAACTTTTCAATGTCTTTCTAACACATATATGGAACCATGACTTAGATATAGGAAATTACTGGGAATTCTTCAGGGCAGGGCAGTCTTTCCATTTCAATACATAGTATTTGATTTAGAAAAAGGAAGAGACTTCAAACTGACTATTTCCCTGTATTACGTGTACAATTTGATTTTGTAACCAATTTTGTTCTTTCAGTGTGACTTGTTTATTCCTTTAAAAACAATCACTTCTGATCTGTTTTACATAGTTTTTTTTCCAATTAGCTTTATGTCACTCCTTAGTGTGTACAGCTTGCAAGCACTGTCAGAAAGATGCTTGTTTTTACATCTGACGTCAACACAGTTTTTGTTTCTGAAGAGCGAGACTAGTAGACATGACAGTATCTTTAAAAGCAGCAAAAAAAAAGATACTTAGAAGTTTTGAGCAACCATATCATTCTGTAAGCCATAAGATATCATTCCTCTTAAGAGGTGTACTGATGCAGTGTGTGGGAAAGTGCTTAAATTTTAAGTATCTTTATTGACTTGGATAGTTACCTTTTCAAAGCCAGATAGGATAGTACATATTGATTCACCACTCCAGTATTTTATGTTTTGCGTCCTAGGTAGTGTTCTGTCTTGTAACAGTTTATGTCTCAGTGCTCACATTTCAGCCCGAAGGAGATAAAACTGTTGCTACTCACTTGTTTCATTGATTCACTCACTCAGTGCAAAATTTTTCCTGTTACTAATTATCTACTAAAGTGCTCAATGAAACTAGTGCTTATTTGAACAGTGTGTGTGATCAAAGTTATTTGTTAAAGGAATTCTTAAACATACATGAATTGAAGAATGTGTTGAGCTCTTCAGCATGTTGTCTTTGTTTCTGTGCTGCAGTGGTGTGATTTGAACAGCATATGAAAGCTACAAAATCATTTCATATTTTGCTTTTTCAGTGAAATAGATCTTCTCAAGAATGAAAACTTTTCTGTGTCAACTGTTTATGGTGTAGCTCCCCATCCTTCTTTAAAACAAGTGCCTCTCACAGTCTCAGAGGACAATGGACGGTACTTGGATATCAAGAGCTCTGAGAATGACAGTAAACATGGAAACACTGAGGAAAAAAGCCTTGCTTTATCAGCTGAAGTGGATTCAAGGACTTCTAAAGATGATATGCTAAATTCTGTGCCCTCTAAAGAGACAGAGAAACTGTCCTCATGTCCTCCATCATCTAAAGCTGCGGTCCACTTTGATAAACCTAATAGGTTAGTGATAAGTTGTAAACTGCATGATATTATTAAAAATTCTTGTAAAGTGAGTAGATATTTTTCTAACAGAGAAGTTCTGCCAAATGAATAGATCATTTGTGTTTTGAAGGCTAATAAAAGACTTAACATACCTCTAGGGTACAGTGCTGATATTTTTATGGTGTTCCTAATCTCCTCAGGAAGGAGTACATATGACAAACCTACTGTTTTAGTATTAAGTTGCAGAAATTCTTTTCCCTTTCTGCTTTTAAACCCAGCCCTGTTTGTTGGAACAAAAAAATAGGTAAAATCAGAATAGTGAATGGGAAGACAAGAGAGTTCTGTTCTTTTTTAAGTTTTAATTTAATAATTCTCTTCTGCTTGAAGAGTTGGGAAATTTTTTTGCTTTTTCTCTGTAGATGTGTATAACTCTGCTAGAGAGCAGAACTATTTATCATTTACTTATTTTGTAATTATCAGAAAGGTATCTGATGGCATACTGCTTTTTTGAGTTTTGATTTTTGGGGCACGCCTTCCCTGGGTAACAATGATTCTTTTAACTAAGTTAGGGAATTCATGTTGTGTTATTACTTGGAGACTGGGTTTGTGCTTACAAGTGTTCTTGAGAAAGCCCTTTCAACCTGTACAAGTGTTTTTGTAGTGAAAAGGAGAAGTGATTTGTTCATTAAGTGATAGATAAACCACTGTAGTCATCAGGAGTAACGCGGACCACAGACATAATGAGAGTAGGTACAACTTGTAATTGTTACCACTGCGGACAGAGATAAGCAAGTAGATCACCTTATGATCTTACTGTTGCTGTTTGTAGGGAAGCAGGCAGCCATCCTGCTTTGTCTTTTGTCCCTTAGCGAGCTTTTGCTGGTTTTGATACTGTAATTTGTTTCTGGAATTATCTTTCCATCTCAGAATACCAAGTAGAAATCTGTGTAGACATTCTGTGCAGATGGAAAAATAAATGCAACCTTGTAGTGGGGTGGAAAAAAAGAACACCGGAAAAAAAGAAGTTGCTAATCCTGCTAGTAATTACCTTTTCTTATAAACTCTAAGAATCCTGCTTTTTCTGGATTTTCTGTACTTCTTGCACTAAGTTCGAGGGTCAGGGCTACTTTTTCAGTGATATCTTAACTTTTAGAATTGGACAGAAGAAAAGATTTCTGAATATAATACTTTGGAGTCACATAACAAATTTATTCTCTCTTAGTTGACTATACTAGTGTTTAACAGGAAAGTAGAACAGCTTAGATTTTTCTGGAAAGTGGTCAGTGGTTTGGTTTAAGCTTTCCAGATTTTTTCTTTTTAAGTTTCTTTCATATCCTAGGTAAAAGTCCAGATATGTGTAGTACACTGCACAATACAAATATGTGTAGTAATCAGAACTTCAAGCTTTTGCTATGTACTTGTCTACCTACTTTCATTTGGCTTGTTGCAAGTTTCTTCTTGCTCAGATTAATGGTGAGTGCTGGGTGGCATTAAGTGCATGAATATTAGATTGATGGTTTGGGGATAGTGAGGGTGTATATGAAAACAGGATTAAATCACTGAGTGAGGAATGAGCTGTGTATTTCCAGTGGAACTTATGATGGTAGAGACTAGAGCAGCATTTGTTCTGCTGCTCACAGTTGTTTAAACTGCACCTAGATTTATTTGAGAAGTAGTTCAATGAAGCCGTGAATCCCCGTTGAGTTAAATTCACAAGTCCCCTCAAATGCAGTTCACTGCAGAAATAAATAATGCATGTGTAATATGTAGCTATTTTTGTACTCTACTTTGGGCTTAATATGTCAGCAAAGGGTCAAAGGAAAGCGTGTTTGATACAGTGTTTTATAGACCAGTATCTAGTGCTAAATTTTCTTCCTGGATTATGCCCTAGATTTGTAATAATGCAGTAATTTTTCTCACTGAATAAGTAGATTATTTGTTAAATGTTTTGAGATCTGCAGGAGAAGCAGCACAATGGAAATGCTTGATATTTATTGATTTCAATCCACATTTATTTACAGAAGACAATTACTATCATTTATGCAGAATGTACTAAGAAGGGTTAACAGCTAAGACACTATCCTAAAAGGCAAGATCGTTACTACTGTGAGTGTTTTCTTGGCATAAATCTTGCCCAGATGGGAAGAGAGAAGGGGAAGTGAGCCTGCCTTGTGTGCCTGCACTCAGAGCAGCTGTGCATGCATGCTGGCAAATGAGGACATGACCATCATTGGAAAAATGCCTCAGTTAACAGATGGCAGTGCAAAGCACTAGCAGTGGTTTAAATAGACTGCACCACATGTGTTTATTCTACTAATTTGAGGTGTGTGGTAATTTGCACCAAATACAAGGTGTTTTCTGTATACAGCAGTCCTGGCTTTTTGAATGAATTGGCTCTTCTGTCCTGGGGTTATATAGAATAGAACAGTAGTGCCTGGGCTTTTTATTCATTGTACTTTGTTATATTTGGATGTCTTCACTGCTGGCATCTATTGCCCCTTGAAGAGACTTGCCACTGACTTGTTTGCAAGAGGCCTTGGTCTTTTATTGTTTTTGTTCAGTGTAGCCATCAAGGATTTTGTTAGACTTCATTAAGGAGAAGCTTTTTGGACTCCAAGTATAACCAGCAATTGTAAGAGAATCCATGCTGCCCAGAGCTTGCTGTTATTTGACCCACAGGGAAATTCAGTGACATATTGTCATACTTACTTTTCATTGTTTGCAAAGTGGGAATGGAACTTTGCCCTTATGTAGGATTTTAATTAGGATTCCACGTGGGAAAGGATCTGATTTTCTGTAGAATGAAGGCCTGGTTGAAGGACAGACTGGGCAAAGGGCTGGCCAAGACCTTGCCTCTGTGTTAATGTTAAGCTGCTGCTTTGCAATGCTTGCTAATGTTCTCCCAGTATAAAAAAAACTCTACAGTGTTGAGTAGAGTGTGTAAATCTGTCACTCAAGAATATTTTACAGCATAAGGACTAACATATTGTGAAAGACGTCTTTTACAACTTGCTACCATTTAAGTAGTTTAGTAACTTTTTAAAAGTGAACCTTGCACAAAACCAAGCTGAATAGAATTAAAACAAGCTTCCTTCATTAAAATTTAAAATGTACTTCAAAAACCCATACTGTTAAAAAAATTAAGCAATAAGTAAAAATTCTTATTTATCATAATTTTCTAAACAGTGAGAAGAGGAAAACTGGTATATTTATTGATGTCCTCTTGAATTAGTTTAAATAATTGTAAGTAAGAGCTTTGATTTTTAACAGGCTTTTTTGGTTAGAAAAGGGTGAATGATTATGTATTTACTGTAAGATGTATTATGTGTCAGTCTATTAGATAAAAATGTATGTGTGTATTTTTGAGGGTTCAAAGGTGTTACCAATTTCCACGTAAAAAATAGGAGTTGCCTCCTCTCAGTATCATTAGAGGACTCAAACAGCTGATGATGGAAATGGGTGAGATGTTTTCTGTGCATATTTTGGAAGACAAATGTTGTGTTTCTTCTTTAAACATAGTGGATGGGGCAGTGTTAGATTAGCATCTAAGTACAAGGCCTGAGATAAGGCAGAGGAAGTTGTCATTACTGGGAATAATAGAGTGCTGCTGCTTGCCTGTTTGATGTAATGGTCAGTAATTGTTTTCTGAGAACATTTCTGCCAAATTACCTTCTTCAGACATGGATGTTTTGAAGCTTTTATCAGGGTTTGATACGGATGCTTAAGGCTTTGAGTAGCTTGGCTGCATTGGCTGGTGCTGGATGTGGCCATGAGGCAGTGCCTGTGCAGATGCACCCTGTAAAAGGGGTTAGACACCAGTTTAAGATTGATTTTGAGGTTCTGGCAGCTTTTGAATCCAAAGTTAGATCCCAAAGTGGCAATTGAGCAAACTATTTAACCCTGAAGCTCGTAACTTGACTGACTACTCAAATGCTTTTATGCAATTTGCAGAATCAGAGCATTAAGCAAAAATATTGTTTCATGTGATTTCTGTGCCCGCCCCACCCCGTTTGCATAATTGTATGCTTCCTCTTGTATTGCCTAAGCTTCCTTTTCTTCATGACTTAGTCCTATTTTTGTCTGTGCAGCCATTTGAAAGATGTTATATTTTTTGGAACTAAATCTAACTTCTTAATTAGGACACTCACGTTTTTTTCTTGCTACGAATGAAACACTCTAAAAGTCAAAGATAATTTTAAAACTTCTGTAGTATGAATCACTTAAACATGCTTTCTGGGTGTCATTTTACCTAGCTGATTAAACCAGAGTGAAAGGACTTGCTTTATCACCTTTCTGATTTATGCTTTCTTCTCCCTCTCCCTTTTTGATGATATTTCAGGAAATTGTCACCAGCTTTCCATCAAGCACTACTGTCTTTCTGTCGGATGTCAGCAGACAGCCGTTTGGGATCAGAGGTATACTTCCAGTGGGCATAAACTAAAAGATCCTTCATTTTGCATGGCAGCAATAGTTAAACAGTAATAATTGCTTTGAAACAAAGACATGGAAAGATGAATCCATGTGCATGAAAGTTAAGAAATAAATATATGTTCTTAGATTTTATGCTAAATGTGGAACCTAGTGATAGAGGTGTAATTACTGGGAACTTTGAGTCTCTACTCACGCTTTTGAAATTGCTGACACATCAAAAACTTACAGCTTCATGTATGGGAATAAATTAAATAGTTTTCTGGTAAGTGATCAGCCTGCTGCAATTTTTATTATTCCTTTCAAATGCTGTTTTTCTGTTCCTGTGTGTCTAAAAAAAGCAAACAAGCAACTTGGTTTTCTAGGTATCTCGAATTGCAGACAGTGAGAAAAGTGTCATGTTAATGCTGGGACGCTGCCTGCCTCATATTGTTCCTAATGTGCTGCTTGCAAAGCGAGAGGTGAGGAACCATGAAATTTTACTTTTTTTTCATCACACTATTTTCTTGTTAATTTTGAAGATGTTGTGTCTAATTTCATGGAAGTCTATTACTTGCAATCATGTTCTTACTTTTGTGCATGCATCTCTGCTCCTAGAAAATGGTTTTACACCTCTGTCAGGTGAGTTCAGCAAACCTGCATGGTATCCTAATATTCCTTCCTCTGCTTAAGGCACCCATTAGCATTCAGCAAGACTGTTACTGTAGGTCCATCTGTTTGTGGTAGCACAGATGTTTTTGTTAGGGAAGACCATATCAATGTGCTTTGTAAAAACAGGGGCTACGAGTTCAAACATTGTTTCATTTATTTTGTCTATCAATTTAAATAAGCAATAATGTTCAGGTTCTTTTGCAGCACTACGTACTTCAACAAAAATAATTTTCAACAAACAAATTATTTTAATGTCTTTTCTTGGAAGCTCCATGTATCAGCCAAGTAAAGGTTCATCAAAAATACCCCTTTGTAAGGAAATGAGCAATCTTGCTTATATGTTTTCCTTAACTTTAAAATGAGAATGACTAAAAATTAGGAACATGTAATGTGTATTTTGAATGTAACTGAAGTTGATGGTTTGCATAATCATTCATGCTATATAGCATACAAAAGGAAGGAAAAAAAATTTGACTGATTTTGTTTTGCTTGGTGTAAATATTGCACATTACCAAATATGTAAAAAAACCCATAAACTGAAGGCATACAAAACAAAAATTCAGTGTCCTTATAGTTGACACTGAATTCAAGGGTTTGAAGTAACATATCTTGCTGAGCAAGTTTTAGTCCTTGTTGACAGGACCTACAGTATGTAGTAGACTTAGTCATGTGTTTTGTGTAAATTCATTTTAAGGCTTTGAAAATTCCTCAAGAAATTTGTACTGATCCTGTAATCTAAAATTTTTATACCATACAAATAATTATCAGCAGCTGACGTGGTGAACTTGAGATATGTCCTTTGGTTTGAAAAGTCATAAAAGGCTTTATTTTTGAGGTGGTGGGGGTGTTAACTGGGTGCTCTGGAAATGCTTCTGTCTTTCACAATAATTCGGTAAATGTTCCTGGATCAGTGCTTAATTTCTGATTTCTTCTTTATTCCTTTCCTTCCTTCTGCTTGGCAGGATGTGGTATTTTGGCTCCTTTTAACAGCTTTTATTTAGCTTAATCTGTGTAATGTATTGAATATTTTTGTAACCTTTTCTTCTGTTTCCTACTTGATTCCTTCCTAGGTTGTTTTACAGTGAAGGTTATATTTGATTACATGTATTTTTGCCTTAAATGATCTGCTTCAGTTTAATTGAAAAAGCCACAGATCACAATTGAGTAATTGGATTACATGGGATGCTTAATGTGTCAGTAATTGAAATTCGTTATAAAAATATCTTCTTTTAGTTCCCTGTTACCTTTTGCTATAACTGTTTTAGTGTTCTTTCTGATGTAGTCATGGAACTTGAAGGAAAAGTTGGGTAGACCATCTGTCAGTATTTATCCTAATCAACTTATGGAAAGGTAACCTAAAAACTAGGCTGTCTTCAACAAGGTATATCTTTGAGTCTTGTCCATAAAGAACCTTGTAATGAGACTTTTGCACAGAGAAGTGGTGTAAAAATATACCTAAAAATCACTAATTTGAGAAAGATGTGTAACAGGTTCAGATCACAATGCAAAGTTCTAGTTCTCACCAGTCTGTTCTGAAACAAGAAGAATGGTAGTATTTAAGATCTTACACTATCAATATATTAGGATGAGAGTTACGCATAATTTTTGCTGACTCCCTGAAATGTCTTTGTTCTTTAAGCATCTGTCATGTTGAAACTGCTTGCAAAATCTTAAGCTGAAAATGATATGCTATGCATCTTCGTTTTGGAGAAATTGAGTTTGCAGAGGCTGACAGTCTCTCAGTAGTTACTGTCCTTTAGCAGAGATTCAGAAGCCATTTTTCCTATGCTTTTAACCATCTTAAGGTCAGTAGCAGCCTGCCTGATCCAGTAGTAAGTGTTCTGGCAAATATTATAGTTGACATTTCTGAAATTATTTATTTTTGTGTATTGGTGCAGCTTTAATTGTTCTTCAGTGTCTGTAGTTTAGGTTCCAATGGAAAGTAACAAAGAAGGAAACTCACAGTATTGAGTAGGGTGGCTGAGGGAATAATTTCGTTTTGTTTCTAAAAAAAGCAGTTCAGCTGTGTAAAATCAGTAATGCATCATACAGGAAAATTGCCTCAAAGCAATTCAGAATCATCAAAATTCATGTAACAAAAAGTAAATTTAATTTTGTTTTAATCTCTAACATCTAGGTTATCTTAACTCCCTGAAAACATCTATGTCAATATATAGATTTGTGTATGAATGCAGTCACAAATAAAGGAGATGTTGCAATGCAAGTAACAGTTAAGTGGAATAAGCATTAACAAAATGCTAAAAGCCAATACTTCAAAAAAAAAGGCCATTGTTTGGGGTGCAGTCTGTGATAATACTTCTTGAAGAGCACCTTGGGTTCATAAAAATTGATCTACATTGTAATCTGCTTTCTCAACTGTCATTTTATCACTTAAAATACATTAACAATAAAAAATTGTAAAAGTAAAATCAGCCACCTTCTATTTCTTAACAGATGTACCATAGAAAAATTCCTTTGACTAAAATGCCATTAGAGAGAAGCCGTCTTTTAAAAATTTCATAATAACTAATCAGTGCAATACTCATTTTTCACACTTTTTAAGCTGTTAAAGTCAATGAGATTTTGTCAGGAAACAAGAGTAACCTTGTTTGTACATACAACTTCCATACTCTGCAGTATATAATCCTTTAATGGAGTTTGGCCCAGAGTAAACTTTTTGCTTAAGATCTTATTAGTCTTGTTCTTAATCAGCACTTTTATTTAATTATTTACGTCTTTAATCTTGCCCATTATTCCAGTGTTAGTCTTTAACTTCTTTTGTGTTATGCAGACTTAGCACAATCATGATAGTAGTGGTCTACTAATTATGCATCACTAAATAGTTTTACGGAGAAATTGTTATTTATAGAGAGTTCAACACGTTAAGAATAGAGTTTTGCTTTTACTTGTTTGTAAAGTTGAAGCAAAGATTATGTTAAATTTTCAGGCTCTGAACTGATGCCATTCTCGACTCCACTAGATCTCCACTATAGATTGAAAGTAAGCACATTAATGTGTGGTAACTGCACGTAAATATCACCAAGGCACTTTAATTCTCTGGCATGTCTCTTAAAACACAGTAGAGTTGAGTATCTTACTATGGAATTTTCATCTCAGTCTTATGCTTTAAAAGCCATTAAATACTGGCTTTGCTAAAGAAATGCAAAAGAAGACTGTGTCAGATCTTGGCAGTATACTTAATTGTTTGCTTCCAAGGGTTGTGTCTAGCAGATTTCATAATGGCTGGATATGGATAAAGGTACATAAACCTGTGTTGCGGGGCATGAAGATTGTCAGTTGTCGATATCTCCTAGATGACCACTTTCATTTCCCATTATAGGGGAGAATAAAGAAATCTAAATGAACAATTACAGTACTCTGTTACTCTGTAAAACGTAGATTGCAGTGGATTTCTATAGATTATGTTTCTAAAAACATATTGACCACAGCCTGTTTGCTAGTCCTTTTATGTGGTCCTTTTCTTACTGGTCCTTTTCAGTGCTGGTTTTGGCTTGCAGGGCTGTTTTGTTCAGGGGATGAGGGTGTACATGAGACATAACTATATTTGAAGTCCTTTAGTTCCCTTCTGCTCAATATGAGGGCTTAGTGCAGTTTCCTTAGAGTAAAATAGCTCCATCTCATAGAATATCCTTTTCATCTCTAGTCTGAATGCCCATGTCTTTCAACACTTGGCCTGTAAAGCTTAGATAGTTCATGGATGTGAGGAGTTGAATTTGATGTTTATGAATTGAATTGCCAGCTTTTGTTGTATCACAAAACTTTTCCATGTGTGTTTTCAAGTAAACAGTAGATACAGACAAAGAAGTAGAAAGTTTTTTCACACTCACACCCTACCATTGATTCATATGTAAAAGCATCCCTTTGGCATCTCTGAGAGGCTTACTTTGGATCCTGGAATAATAGTCTCACCCCATGAAAGGTAATTAGAGCTGTGATTTTAATATTGGTAAGATTAGTAGTACAAAGTTTTGAGTCATGTGTTAATCCTATGATTATTTTTTTTTCATTTTAAATTAAAAGAATGAATTTGGAATTTTAAATACATTCTTGCCCAAGACAGTTCCTATTGGTATTTTGTTGGTGCCTGCAGCTATTTCAGTTGCAGACAATAAGATTATTTAATTTTATTTACTTGTTGTCAGAGGCTAAGTTACAGAATAATTTTAGCACAGTATTGGGTCACGATATAAGCATTGACCATTAAAGAAGATTCAAAGGCAGACGTTAACAAAATTGATCATGTCATCCTGGTTTATATATTGTTGCCTGCAATATTAATACATTAATATTTGGAGGAGTAAAAATATAATATTTTACTACTTCAGTAATAAATATTTTTTTACTACTGAAGTAACCAGTCTTGACGCTTAACACTAGTTAAATTTATCCTTTAAGATAATTATTTTGCTTATACAAACTCCAGCAAGAAGACAGTAATTAGTGAGAGCAATAAGATGTAGAAGACTTGTTGGAATGTTTAGCAAAACGTTGTTATAATGATGGAAACAAAACTGACAGCAAAGTCTTTGCTACCTTCCGAGATGTTCACTACATGATGCACTTTTAAAAAACCCAAGGTTTACTATTTTGTTGTAATACTTTTGTTATGTAGGAGGAACTCTAGGCATATAGTTTAGATGGTACTAATTGCTGTAAAAAAGCCATATTCTTTTGTCTGTAATGAAAAGAGAGCTAATCCATATGTCCATGTAAATGTTGCCTTTATTGATAACTCAAATAGTGAATCCCTTTCAAAGGTAATGGAACAAGTTGTTGTAAGTTAGGAAGAAATTGTCCAGAGATACTGTGGTGAGAAAAATGTGAGTTTTTCTTTAGAAAGACCTACATGGAGAGTTACAGAGAAGCAGAGCAGAGGGAAGATGGGCTGTATCAGTTCTCTCATGCAGTGTTTTAGGTCAGCCTTAGAGCATTATCTGTCAGTCACCTGTATGTAGCTTCTCTCACAGTAAAACCAAAATACCTTCTTTCTCTCCATTCTGCATCTGGGTAGCTCACAGTATAAACTATGTCAGATTGGAATTTGGCTTTTCAATAGGAGAGGTGGGACCTGTGACACATAATGTTTTATTGCATCAGCTGCGAGTGCCAACAATGTTACCATGTCAGTCTGCTTGGATGAGTCACTAGTCGCTCCTGTTGACTAACACCAACACAAACTATCAAAACTCATGTTCTGAACTCAAAGGCAAAAGAGAAAAGAAGGGCTTGGAGATCAACAGGATGTTTAGGAAAGTTCCCAAATTAAATAGAGGGAGAGTTGTTGGGTTTTTTTGAAACTTAACTTCTTGCTTTATGACTGTCAGCACAAGTGGTATTCCTTCCCGAGGAATGCAGAGTGTTTCAAATAGCACTGGAAGTCCACTCCTTGATTATTAATAAATATATAGAGTCTCTAATACCATGTTGTGAACTTTTCTCTTGAATCTAAACAGCCAAATACTAATCTTACCGTGTTTTATTGGAAAATTGCTACTTCCTATTGCTTCTCTGCTGGTTTCAAGAATGAAAAATATGAGATTTGTAAAACAAATCTACATCCAAGGCATGACCCTTAGCACCAGGAAGAAATGAGCTCAAACCTACCAGTAGGTTGGTTTTTTTTCCTTAATGCTCCTGAATGTCCTGAGAAGAATCTGCCCCTTATAAGTCTTTGGGAGACTTCACTTGACCTGTTTGATCCCTCTGTAGAGCAGTTTTGTTCTTCTGGTCCCACAGTCCCCTTTGCTTCCAGTTTTACCCTCCTGTCCCTGAGAGCTTTAGGGAGCACAGAAAACACTGTTTGAGACTTCTCACTGTTTCTCCACTCCCGTTAATAGAAGGAGCTGTAGAAGCCCTGATGCAGCGATGCAGAGAACACTCTCTTCTCCCATAGTATGCATGAGAGAATGTGACCAATGGACGAGAAAATACAGCTAATTCCATCAGCTAGAATAACCAGCTTGCTGCAAGGTAAAGAACCAGCCTTGGATCTGCCCATGTCAATGCTCTTAGCTTACTCATTACCTTTCAGACACAAGGCAGTAGTTTCTAGGTGAATATTCTCAGGTGTTTTCCTTTCACGCAGACTCAGCTGAAAAAAGACAATGTTAACTTCCTTTAATTCTGTAAGAAGCTTAAAAATACCCCACCTCATGGTACTGCTTTAAAATCTAGCAGTAGTTCTGAATAAGCAGTTGAGGTTTTTGAGTAGGTACTCAGACATGCTAAGGAAGTGAAATCAATGTGTTGGTTTCAGCAGATGAAACAAAAATCCATAAATGTCCCATTTCATGGAGGATATTTTGTCAGGTTTTTCATAGGAGTATTTAAGAATACTTGCAAGAGCAGTTGAATAATGTGAATTTAGAGTAGATTTCAGAAAGTTAGATTTCACTAAAGTAACCAATGTATATTTAGCTTTAAGATTTTAAGTGAGATTTATTCTTTATAGTAGTAATTTTGTTCTGTATCTACAAATTGCAATCAGATTTAAAAGATTTTAGTTTAATGTATAAGTAGTGTTATTTAGAGTGGTGTTGAGGCGGGTATTATTTTAGAAATGTTCTTTCAAGTCTTTTTGAACTAAAGCAGCATTTGCAGGAGAGAAAATTCTATGCAGTCCAAAAAGATAAGTTAAATAAGTTAAATCCTCTGACTTCTCAGAACTTTAAATGGGCAAAAATTTTAAGTAAAAATAATGTGATCTAACATGAAGATTCTAGAGGGAAAGAAGCTCTCAGCTGAACAAAGTTAGTTGTTCATGCAATTTAATTTGTCAAGTTCCTTTAATGCAGGTCTTCAGTTCATGCTGTGTTGTGCTACACTTATTTAAAAACAACCACAGTTACTCTTAAAAAAGTATTTAAGAAATGGAAATGTTCAAAGTATTCAAATTTATTTTTCATTTCTCCTTCTCTCCTTTTAGATTTTTTAAGTGATTGGTAGGATATTTCCATGTTGTCTCCTGTGTCATAAATTCTCGAATCTATATCATAATAATTGAGTTGAATATTCCCAGTATATCTTCCAGAGTCACAGAATGTTAGAATGCAGTTCAAGTTGTGTCTTGGTCATCTTCGGAGATGAAAAGTAGCGCATGGAGTAGAATTCTTGTAAAATGAAAAAAAAACAAAAAAAAGCTTGTCAGGAGTGGGCTAGCTTAGGCACTGCTCTAAAATGGAGTCTTGCTCTGTGTTTAATATAAATAGAGCTCCTGCTGTTTAGGAAAATACAGGTTGAGCAGTGAGGATGTTGTCAGTGGTGTTTCCACAGGTCCACAAGAACATCATGATTAGATCTCTTTGAATATCTGCAAGAAGAAATTTGCACCTCCCTGCAAAATCATTCTAAACAACCACAGGTTTTTCCAGGTTTTGTATAATTTCTCCTACTAATGTTAGATGTGTTTCCCACTATCACCTGCTTATTTGTCTCAAATTAGTAATTCACAAAAAGTCTTTCTGCTGAAAATTATTCCTAAATACACAGCAGGCGTGCAAGGTAATCTCCAGATTACTTGCCCATGTTTTTTTCCAGACACTGAGGTTTTTTCTTCTTTTTTTCCTGACCTCCCAGTGCAATGTTTCTGTCTCTAAGATATTAAATCACTTAAAAACTGTCTGGCTTCCAAATTCAGTTGGAGTAAAAGCTCACATCAACAAGGTCAAGGGAAGGGACTTCCAGACAATGTTTTAGAAACATTTGGTTCTTCTGGGAATGAATACCATGGGCTTTGTAGGCATATTTAGGAAGGAGGAGGCCTTCACTATGAAGATCCTTCTATTTTCTCTCCATGTTTTACACAGTATTTTCTTTGTAATTTGTTCTTTTTAGGGGTTTTAATTACTCCAAAAAGAAAATTCAGCTTCAAAGATTATTTTTGTATGGGGAAAAAAAAATCATGGAACCTTTACAAAAATCAGATAATTGTCAGTCAACACAAAATCTGTCTGCAGTCACCTTTACCAATGTATGTTTCTCAATTTTTTTTTTTCCAACTTGTGCACAAAACTGTGTGGATGTTTAATTGGAAATTTTAATCTTTAACTCCGTGGCATTTTTTCATAGGAGCTTTATTCCATAGTTGTCTGTGGAGCTTCAGTTCAGTAGGCAGTGAAAACAGTTGAAACCATGATTGTCCTCTAATTCTGGTTACAGGTGACCTGCATATGTTAATTGTCATCTTTGCAGAGCTTTTCATTTTATGTGCTGATTCTCCCCTGATTTTTCCTAGCAGGAAGATAATTCTAACTTTTGTAGACCTTCACTTTCCTCAAGTCACTTAAGACATCAGGACTCGAAAGTATCTTTTCTAACTGTTTTGATGTTATATGATTTTAGATTTATCTTCTTAGTTTCTTATGCAGTAAATGAATGTATGCCCAAAGCAATTTTACTTTGTTTGGTTTTCCCCTACCCACAACTTTTTAGGAATTGATCCCACTCATACTGTGTACAGCCTGCCTCCATCCTGAACCCAAAGAGAGAGATCAGCTTCTGCACATACTGTTCAATTTGATCAAACGACCAGACGATGAGCAAAGGTGTGTTTGCGCTTGTGTGATATGGGACAAGCAGGAACTTTTTTCTCTGTGCAAGCAGCAGAACTTGTAAAAATTGGATATGATTGGGTGGTATTAAACAAGTTTTGTTTAGCTGGTGTTTTGCTTATATAGTGTTGACAAATTTATGCCAAGTTCAGGAGTTTCCATTTCCATGATCTGTACTTCCAGTTACTGAATTGTAAGAATGTGCTTATAAGCTACAGTGTAATTTCAGTTCCTTTTTCTGTTCGAAGATGAATTTAAACTGTTTTGCTAAAATGATCTTTAACATCATAATTCTTAGCACCAGTTGATGTAGAAATCAAAACAGCTTTTATTTTAAAATCTGTGTTAGTGATCTACATGTTTGTTGAGATGACCACTACATTTCTTTAGGGAAAATAGTGTTCTTTCTACCTGTGGCTCATTAATATGGTGGGAGTAAAAAAATCAGAAGAGTGTAGCAGTGATCTAGGTCTAACAAGTGTTAAGGATGTTGTTTCATTTTGGTTAAGCTTCTGAAACAAATTACACCTTTTGTTCTATAAATTTAATTCTTCCCTAGTGCTCAGGAAAACTGACTTTGTACTGATCTTGATGAAAGTATCCTTAAGGTTGAAAGACAGTGCCCAAGCTGGTATGTTTTCTTCTCTTAATTGTGGAATGACTTTCCATGTTTGATCTGTAGCTCTTCCATTATTTTCATTAGAGATGTTTTGGAAAGCATCTGTATCTATTGTTGCTCTAGGCTGTCTTCAGACAAAATAGGCTTTATCAAATAGGTGGAAAGCATTTCTTTTGGAGACTCTCCAAAACTGAAGTGTTCAGGCATCTTTTTAAACCATTCTCATGGTAAAATTTAGAGATTAGGTATAATTGAAAGCCATGGCTTTGGAGACAAAAAAAAGAAGCTTAAACAAAAGCAACTTGTAGCATAGTGGCACCATGTAGATTGAAATTACAAAAAGATGCAGTCTTGATTCTACTTCAGAGTCATTAGAAATCTGCTTCTGAAGTGTTCTAAATGTCCCAGTGGATTGAGAAGCTAAAATAATTTGTGGTTGAAGGGGAAGGAAATTGCATGTCACTTGGAGTCTCTTGTGATTAATTTGTTACAGGATTGGTGGCCTATCAAATCCTATCAAATAGACTTCTCATATCCCCCCCCATAGGTGCATTAGGTGTGTATATTCCAGCAGTTAAGAAAGAAGAAAAATCTTTTTTCCTTGAATTTGTTCCATTTTTGTTGCAAATTAGAGATTTATATATAGAAATAACTTGTTTCCATGTGAAAGCTGGGAAAAATAGTCTGCCATAAACTCTAGGACAAAGCATGCATATACATAATATACATTTGCACACATAAAAATAACAAGTGCTTTTGAAGGTGCCATAATCAGATGGAAAACCAGTTAAGATTACATGAAATAAAAGGGATTCTGAATAGTAATTAAATAGAACATACTTTTTCAGAATTTAAGGGCGGTTATATTTATAGATTTCTATGGAAGTGTATTATGCATGCTTTGTTTTTATCTAAATATATTTAAATATTTTAGAAGTCTTATGCAATATGAAGTGAGCAAAGACATTCAGGTTTAGTCACCAAAACGATGATGTTGATTATCTCATTACTTGTTTGCCTTCTGCTGTACTGTACAGGCCTACTACATTGTACCTTGCTGTAGCAGCTGATTAGTTGACATTTTTAATTTGCTAAGTGAGAGAGACTGAAATGGGACATTGCATTTCTAAGAATTAACCCATTAAAAGAAATATTTTGTTTTACAATGTCCAGTATCTGAAGTATGGTAACGGTTGTGCAGAAAGACTGGATTATACCTCTTGCCCATTTGAGATGCATTTTGGTGTTTGGCATATTTCTGTAGTCTTGCACACTGACATTGGATTTGACAAGGCCACTTGTATCCTCATGGCTTTGCTCATCAATGTTCCGTTCAACTTTTGAGAATGCCTATCAAATGCTCTTCTGCAAAGGAGCAAAAATGTGTTCATGTAACCTCCTTTTTGTACAGTTATGTGAGTTTTGGAGGCCAGGACTCATGATGAAGTGAGATTAATGTTTGACTCTAATAGGACAAGATTAAAACATTGCTTCAATCGCCTCTTATTCAGATCCTTACAGCTTTCATTTCCCTGAAATGCTGACTGTTATATGCTGATAAAATGGTCACAATAAAATATTTAAAATCTTATTCTAAAATATTTTTGAAATGTCTTCAAATTCTCATCTTGGTAGGCAAGGCAAAAAGAAATCTGACTTAATTTTGAGATTTCATGGAACTTTTAAAAAAAAGTTTTGGTTTAAGAAAAAATATTTTGTTTTATCCCATTTATAAAACAGAAAATTTCAAGTGATTACTGTATTCTGCTATTTTCTAATGTCTTGAAAATATAAATTCTCTTGCCCAGTTCTGTGATTGGGTGCAGTGTATAGGAACAAAGACACTGCACAGTAAGTAAAGACAGTAATTCAAATGCCTATTTTGTTTGCAGTAGAACTTCGAATTACCACAGGCTTTTGTCTCCATATTGCTATCAGCTGTTGATTTCTTGAGTCTTATCTAATAATTTTTTTTGTCTCCTTACTTTTTACCTTAATCAAAGGCCTAGTTCTGTGAATGTGGCAGAGAGGTAAAAAACCCAAACACACACAACACAGAAGAGATTGCTCTGATTGTTGGCATAAAGAATGCTGGGATTAAAAAACCCAACTTTTTGTTAGGATCTTTCTCCTAAAAAGTTCTTAAAGTGAATGAGTCTTTTTTTGGTGGAGTATGTTCTCTAAGGGGTTAAAAGATAACCAGCAGAATCTCTGCCTTTCAACCTTAAGGGGATGCTATTGGTACAGAAAATATTTAGGAGTCTAGACATGGCACTTAAATGGTAACAAATTAATTCTGGCTTACATTTCACAGAGGAATAATAAGAAACTCTGAGTAGTGTCCAAGTCTTACTGAGGAAGTGATAAAATTGAGTCTCATGTCCACATATTATCATTTGAAACTGGGTATTTAATAATTCATGTAGGCTCTAAAGGTAAATAGAATTGGTGAACTGCATTCAAAGTTGGTACTATTCCAATCCTATCAACAGGAAAAATAGAAGTAGAAACATCTTAGCAAGATAGACACTCATTAAATAAAATAGCACAAATGACAATTTAGTACAATCTTACTGAAATTTTATATATGCCTCTGTGCCTATAAAATTGATGGGAAAATGGCAATTTCTTGCAAACTTTAATGAAAGGTTAAAGAGTATAAGAATATGAACACAAATAACAGGTGATAACAGATCCTACTGGTTGATTACTTGCTTTCATTTTTTAGTGGTCTTTTGAAGATTACTCACAAGAGTGAAGTTCAGTATTGTGTGAGAGATGACAGTAACTTGCATGTCAGAAGGTTGCAAAACTGTGTCATAAAAGAAATAAGCTGCTTGCTCTGAATAAAGTTCATTAAATCTCACAAATGCTTCTAAATAAAACCAGTTACTTCAGTGAAATACTGATAGTATGATAGTACTAGGTAATTTGGATCCTTTTACTGCATGATAATATTCGGTACTAAGAATTAAATGAGAAATTTAGTTAGAGACTGCCAATCTCAGATTTTAGAAAATCAGAAATACCCAAATCAGAGATTCTCAGACTAGTTTATGGAGTTGAGGATCTGCAAGATTTTGGAAAAGGCATTCTGAATATAAAACAAGGTAAAACATAGAATAGTTTGGGTTGGAAGGGATATTTGAAGGTCATGTAAGCAAATCTCCACCCTGCAATGAGCAGTGATATTAGTGGCTTTCAATTTAATATTTAGTCTTTAAGTCAGTGTGGATGGTGTGGAATCTTGACTGCAGACAACTATCTATTGCCTGTCAGCATGTGTTTTTCCTAACTTAGGAATATATGTTATATATTATAAAACTTTATAAACAGGTTAAAGCTTTACATTTATCTTTTCAGACAGATGATACTGACTGGGTGTGTGGCATTTGCCCGACATGTTGGACCAACACGTGTAGAAGCTGAACTTTTACCACAATGTTGGGAGCAGGTAACTGATTAGTGTTTGCTTTATGCTCCAAAATCAGTTAAACGTTTATAAAGTTGAGTTTTACTTGTTCAAGGGGGAGGTTTTGGGTTTGGTTTTCAGAAAGATATTTGGATGTTCTTTGTTCTCATCGTATATATTTTTATTTAATATTAAAAATACCTCAGAAGCAGAAAGCTTATTAAAGACTATCTGGAGAGATTTTAGTTACCTGCTTGTACCTGAATAAGCTTGTTATATTGAAGTGTAGATAAGGACATGTTCATCATCAGTGTTGTGTGACATATTGCTAGGTAGGTACTTGTATAATTTTTGCTCTGCCTTCCAGCCTGTTGGAAATCCATTTTCATTCAAAGATTTTATTTACTGGTTTTTTTTTAATGTTGTATTAAGTCCCTGGAGCAGTGGCCACACCAGCTAGTTTAAATTCTTAAACAGAAAATCAAAGACCAAAGTACTCACAAGTGAGTCTCTCATAGATGAGCATCTGTGACACGAGCCTGAAGTTTACATCTCTTGTAGAATCACAGTGATCTTGTTCACAGATACTCGAAATTAATAGAAATAACTGAACAATCAGATGGAAATGTTTTTACTGTTTCATCTGAGGCATGGAAGCAGAACTACATGAGTTCAGGTGAAAATCTGTTGTATTTTCCTACCACAGTGAAGGAAAGGGGGTTCATCATTGCCTGAGAAGACAATGAATAACTAAGCCATGACGGAGTGGGAATGCCTGCTTTGATGGCAGTCTTTCTGGTCTGGTAGTTTCCTACTGTTCCTTGCATAACACAGCAATCTGTGTTTCCCAATAAAGTCTAACCTTTAATAACCTTAATGCTTTCTGACAGTAGAAGTATGAAATTATATGCAGCATTTGTGCTTGTTGTGAATGACTGATGTATCTGTTGATTAAGTGAAGGTCTCGCGGCAGTAGTAGTTTAAAAGGAGCTGTACAAAGACTTCTGTATTTTTGCCTAATTTTGTAAGCAACATTTTGTTTTCTTAGTCCTTATGAAATTTAAACTGTGATTGAAAAAAAACTATCTCACCTCAGGAAGAGCACATTCTTCTCATCCACTTCTTGCTAATTGCTGATGCGAAAGAGAAACGAGTCCAACTGTACAAGTAGAGCATCTCAGACTGCCAAGTCATATGGCATAGAGCACTTACCTAATGCAGTTTGCCAGGCTTTGTTTGGCAGTACTGGAACCAGGTCATTATTTTCTCCAGCTGAAATACCAGCTGAATCTCACTGTCACAAGTCTTGAGTTTGTAGAAGGAACTTTAGTATAAACATCATTTTCTACTTTTTGCAGTAGATGTGTAAATCATGAAAAGGGTTCATGCTCTTGGTCTCCAACAAAAATCTGTTTACAGATGCAAAGGTCTGGGCCCTCAGGAAGTTCATCCTTTTCATTGATATATTGTGGAGCTCAGTTATTAGGCTAGTCTTTTTAAACTCTCTGCCTGCTCTTTTGCAGGTAAAATTTGGTAACTGACTAAGTTTAGTTGAAGGCTCTATGAATGCTAAAAGGGCTACTCAAAACTGGTGACCAGTTATTGACTTCCAAAATTACTCAAGACAAAAGGAAAATAAATAATAATAAACATTTTAGTTACATTTCATTTCCAGGGGCCATTCATCTTCTCTGAACACAAACCTGACAGAAATTTCAGTCTTTTTTCCTCCAGTATGTGTTTGCAATATCAGGGGTGATCTTTGTATTGCCATGCCAGACTACCTACAACCTGTAGGGGTATAGAATATAAGAAAATAAAGACAGTGCAGAAAGTAATCTTACCCCTAAGGAGTTTCAGCTGGGTCAATTATCAAAGATTAGGAGCAGGCCTGACTTTAACAGGCCCCAGCTGTAACCCATGAGAAGAAGAGTGCTGTACAAGAGTGGGGTGGCTGGGTGAGAAGGGAACTGGAGTCAGTTGGCTCCTTTGTGAAGAAGAAAGGGTCAGTGCTCTGAGGAGCTGCCCACAAGAAACACCAAGAAGGTATGAAACTCTTGTGATAATAAACAGTATAGAACCCCTACAATAAGATGGCAATAAAAAGCAGCTGAAACTTGTCATTGCTGTTTCCCTCAGGTAGGCAGAGCTCCAGAAGGTTATGTGTGTCTATGTTGCTAGTGGGGAATTTGCATTTGAAAAGATGGCACATAAGTAAAAGATTTTATAGAATAATAAAGAAGGTTTGGAAGGGACCTTAAAGGCCATTAGCTCCAAGTCTCATCCAGCCTGGCCTTGAACACTTCCTGGGATGGGGTGTCCACGGCTTCTCTGGGCAACCTGTTCAGTGCCTCACCACCTTCACAGCCTAGTAGGTTTTAAAGCAGCCTCTTACTTGTCCATAATATTTTTCATCTGAGATCTCCATACTTCCAAGAAATTATTGCACGTGCTCTACTGATGAATGAATGCAAAATAATGATAGACACACTCAAAGAACGTTCTCATGCTTGAGACTTCAGTTTAGTCCTGAAGCTTATAATTTGTTAATTTAAGTCTCTTTGAAATCATCTTTTCCACACTTGATTCTTGAGAGTTCTCAGTAATTTCATACCAGAGCAGTCAGAGTCAAGCATCATTGTTGAGTGTGCTGAGCCAGTCATCTCAGAAAGTTGTCAGTTTGGTTGTGTTGTTTTTTCTATGTAAATACATCCTGGCTATTTCCAGCCACATTCTTGTCCTTTGGATGTTTGGGAATGCCTTGTAAGGCTCATTGCTCCGACAGCTTCCCAGGAGCTGGTGTGAGGTAGGCTGCCCTGTGTTTGATTGGGTTCTCTGTCTTACCCTTCCTGAGGGTAGCAGTGACATTAGCTTCCAGTCCTCAGGGATTTCCCCCATTGCCACAACATTTTCTTAATTGTCAAGAGTGTTCTTGGAATGACATCAGATGTGAGCACTCATGGGTACATCCCCATCAGGGCCCAAGACTAGTGTATGTCCAATTTCTTCAATATTTCCTGGCTGCTAGTTTCTGCTAAAGGTCCTCCTGGTGCCAGAATTTGGCATGGATTTTAGGGACCTCAGACTACTGAAGGCAAGTCTTTCAAGACAGAGGCAAAGAAGGCAATGAGTACTTTGGTCTTTTTTCATGGTGAGATGGTTGCCTCACCGAGGCTATACACTACATAGCAAGAAAAAGGCAATTGCACCAAGTGCTGCATATCCTATTTTATTTGACAGCATGAAAAAGATCATATTTTACTCTCAGCATGGTACCACAGACTTTTTTATTCACAAAATATTGAAATACTTCATTGTTTCATTGTACAACCATTACAGCCACTAAATCTGGCTCCACCAGAATGCACGTTTGATTACAAAATGTTAATGATAAATATTAAATTTGAAAGGCAGAGTTTTCAAGCAGCTTTTGAGTAGAAAGGGGAAATATCACAGGATCAAGAGGTTCTGGTAATATGAATTGTTTTTAGAGCTGTGATATATTTATGCTGGGCTTCAGAGCAGAACTTAATTAGAAGGCAAATGTGTTTAGGCTTCCACAGGTGTTTTCTTCTGACTGTGATTGCTTAGCAAGACCTGGGCAGCTCTGCTACACTGCTTTGCTCAGAGCACTAGAGGGCACTTGTGCAGCTCTTGGAGAAACAGTGCTCCTGAAAGTCTTCATAAGACAAAATATTTTGTGTCATGCCAGTTCAGGACTTACGCAGATTCTTTAGAGTACAGCAGCCCATACACTGCTTTCCTTTTTATTGCTTATATGGCTTCTCACATACATATTTGCTTCTCTGACTCTTTCCCTACTATAAGCTATGTCTTTTAGGACAGCTGCCTCACTTCTATGCCTCAGTGCAAGAATTTGAGGCTGCTTAGTACCCAGGTGCAACTTCTGTGAGCTCAGTCAGTGTTTATTGAAGAGGTGCAGACACACCCCTCTAACAGGGTGTGCACCCCTCTGCAGTTCACTCTAACCACATTTTGAATGCTGGTTACTGCAGAGCAAACAGTCCATCTGTTTCTCTTTACCAGATCAACCACAAATACCCAGAGCGACGGCTGCTGGTAGCAGAATCCTGTGGAGCTCTAGCACCTTACCTTCCAGTAAGTATTAATAGACTCCAAATACCTGCTAGGGAAAGCAGGGTACAAATCTGATGCATAATGTAAGCATTCTTTATCATTTTAAATATCACCAAGTGTGTATATTATGCACAGACAGTCAAATTGTCGTCTACTTTATATCACACATGAGATTCATTAAGTCACTTAAGGAGATAGTTTGTTACAAATACAGGTTAATCTAGCTATAAAATGTTTCTAAAAACAATGTGAATATTCATTTCAGTAAAAATGAGGTAAAGAAAAGATAGTTAGGACCAATTAAGGAAACAATCTATGAAAAAGGAATTGGCACCCCGCTGTAGTGTTCTTCAGACACTGTGGAATGTTACATCAAGAGTGCCGCCAGTTGGAAGAAGCAGTGAAATTATGTCAGTGGTAAACTAGAATTTCAAGCTTCAGAGAAAGGGTGGGGGAAGGGAACTTAAATTAAAATCCAATTTAGCAATGCAGTGATTACTTAAAGTCTAGGCCTATAGTAGTTTTACTGCTGTAAGTTATTTTTGGTTCCTTGTGAATGAAAGGACCTTAGTTCTGTGCTTAGTAGGACAAAAGTCTCTCTAATGAAGCTACTGACATTTTATATTCATTCATTGTGAAAGCTGAACATGTAATATTCATAAAGGATTTTATGGTTGGAGGAAGGAATTTTGTGAGCACTAATAGGTGTGGGAACTTTTTAGTATAGTTGATACAAATCCACATTTCTTGTTTCATTGCCTTTAACAAATATGTTTCTCATTTACAAACAGAAAGAAATTCGTAGTTCCTTAGTACTTTCCATGCTGCAACAAATGCTAATGGAAGATAAGGCAGATCTGGTACGAGAAGCTGTGATCAAAAGCCTTGGCATCATTATGGGCTATATTGATGATCCAGATAAATATCAACAGGTATCGTTTGGTTTGGGTTCTGTATGTGTAAAATGCTTTCTATAGATATTTCATAAATAATGAAGGAGGTTGTATAATAATAGATGACTTTTTAAATTCCTGCATTTTTCTTAATTCTTTCCAGTTACTTTAAAAAATTGATTATTTATATTAATGTTGATTTTACTATATCACCAAGACAAAACAGAAAAACTACAAGTAGCTGTAGAATTTCAGGTGTAAGCCTTATATAGAAGCTGCTCTAGTAGTTCATAATTTGCCTTTAAGAGCATATCACTTTTCTGCCCATCTGATATTATTAGCCAGTTTGACATCCCCACTTAGTAGTACAGATTCATTTGCTGCAACAAAGTCTGCCTATAATTCAGCTTAATGCTGAACAATAATGTTTCACATAATTGAAAATAAAGAACTTTTCCCTTTGAGTATTTGAATGTGTATATCAGTTTTTGGGAAATAATTGCATTCATTACTGTCTTTTACCAGGGTTTTGAACTGCTGCTTTCAGCTTTAGGGGACCCTTCAGAACGTGTGGTTAGTGCAACACATCAGGTATTTTTACCTGCTTATGCTGCCTGGACAACAGAACTGGGAAATTTACAGTTCCATCTTATACCTACACTGCTTAATAAAATTGAAAAATTGCTCAGGGTATGTACTCAGCTGTTTCTACAGTGGAGAATTTTCTTTGTATTCTTCACTTGTACTTTGGAAGAAGAAAAAAAACCCACCAAACCTCCCCCAAACTAAACATACTCTTCTTTAATACTGATCTGTTTTATATCTTAATAGCATTGCCCCATGTCTAAATTGTGTAGATTTTGGTAAACTGCAGTTTTTATTAAATAAGCAAGAAAAGTAGATTTGAATGGTTAAGTTAGGTCGTTTCCAGTTATGATCCAGTTTTCACATCTCATTTGATAGATAACTCAGAAGTTCTGGAAAAATTGTGTGCCTCATAGCTATCTAACACGCTTGAAAGAAGATGCTTGCTCTCAGAGTACGGGTGACTTGTTTATTCAGTTTAGATGCCTTTGTCACTGAGGCAAAGGATCCACATTTCCAAAATGTGCTGAAAAATGTTCTTTCAAAATATCAGTCTGTTCATCAGGATGAACTGTTAAATGCCAAAGGTTATATTGCCTGAATCTTTTCAGCAGAGGTGACCTAAGAGTGGCAATATATGCTCATGATTAGGCTAAGTTGCTTTATAATTAGTGTGTCTGGGTAGAAGCTCATCGCAGATGTGCTGATGCCTTGCCAGGGAATACACACCTAAGGAACAGATCTTCCAAAGTAAAAACTTCCAAATTAATGTCCTGTTTGTTTCAGGAAGGAGAACATGGCTTGGATGAACATAAGCTCCACATGTATCTGTCTGCCCTGCAGTCGTTGATTCCTTCTCTGTTTGCACTGGTGCTACAGAATGCACCTTTTACAAGCAAGGCTAAACTTCAGGGAGAAGTACCACAAATAGAAGGTAAATTATTCGTTTCTGGATTTTTATATTGGTCTACCTTAGTAAATTCTTAAGTAATACTTCCTTTTTTCACCCCTTGCTATGCTTGAGATACCTGATTATCACAAAAAACCTTTAATTTATTTTTCTCTACTTCTTAGAAGAAGCTTTTAGAAAGCAAAGCAATTTTTAATTGTACTTCCTAAAGGTTCCTAAAGAACTGATTTCCATTAATAGCCAATAATAGCTCAGGAGGGCTGGCCTCAGATTCAGTTAATTCTTACAAATTTATGGAGTGGGAAAAACACAGCAAAATGCAGCAGCATCACCATCTGTTATCTGTGTAATATCCTAGAAGAACATCCCATCCCTGAAAGTGTCCCAGGCCAGGCTGGATGGAGCTTTGAGCAACCTGGTCTAGTGGAAGGTGTGCCTGCCCATGGTAGTAGGGTTGGAACTAAGTGATCTTTAAGGTGCCTTCCAGCCCAAACCATTCCATGACTGAATGGCCTCATGGTGAAGTTGTCCTTAGATCAGCAAACCTAGCCTGTGGAGTGTTTTCTCCTGTTGCAAATACTTTAAAGATGTTATTGGTAACACCTGCCACCATGCTGATAATAGTGCTGTGTGTGAAGATGCAAAGGAAAAGTAACAAAGGAGAATTTGGAAAGTAGCTAGTGGTACATTACTGCTGATACTCCTTTGAAAATGGATGCCATGGTAAGGCTCATCTGTCTGACTTGAGTAATTTGAAGATGAGCACTTTTTCTGGGTGGCTACTACTTAAATAACAAATTCAAAAATTTCAGGTTTCAGCCTAGTCTTCTCCATGCTGAGCAAGCACAGCTCTTTCAGCCTTTCTGCATAGGAAAGGTGCTCTGTCCTTTTGTTCACACTTTTGTAGCCCTTCTTCGGACTTGGTCTAGTAGGTCCATGTCTTTCCTGTGCTAGGGACCCCAGAGCTGGATGCAGCACTCCAAGTGGAGTCTCATGAGAGAGAAGCAAAGGGCTAGAATTACCTTCCTCATCCTGCTGCCACGCTGTTTTGGATGCAGTCCAGGATAGTGTTGGTTTTCTGGTCTGTGAGCAAATATTGCTGGGTCATGTCCAGTTTTATCATTGACCAGCACCCCCAAGTCTGCTCTCAATCCCTTCCTATCCCCCAGCCTGCATTGCCCTGACCCAGCAGGGGTGCTTGCAGCACCTTGTACTTGGCCTTGTTGAGCCTCATGACATTCCTATGGGCCCATTTCTCAAGCTTGTCCAGGTCCCTCTAGATGGCACCCTGTCCCTTAGGTGTGTCACTGCACCACTAGCTTGGTCATCTGCAAACTTGCCAAAGGTGCACTCAATCCCTTTGTCTTTGGTGAAGAGAGTGAACATTACTGGTCCCAGTATGGACCCCCGAGAGGCACAACTTGTCACTGATGTCCATCTGGACATTAAAGCATTGACCACTGTCCTCAAGGTGTGGGCATCCAGTCAATTCCTCATTGACTGAGAAAGCTGATCTATCAAATTCATATTTCTCCAGTTTGGAGGGGATGTTTTGGGAGACTGTCAGAGGCTTTACAGCAGTCCAGATAGGTGACATCTGCAGCTCTTCCCTGTTCACAGATACTGTCATCCATCATAGAGGGCCACCAGGTTGGTGAGGCAGGGTTTGACCTTGGTCAAGCTGTGCTGGCAATAATAATAACATAATCTCCCTGTATTTTCTCTTTTTAACTGAGGGTTACATAATCTCTTCAGAAATTACTTTAACTCACTGATTTTTAAAAAGCAAACACATAACCTTGTAGAGAAGGCACTTAATGAGTTTCACAGTCTCTTAGCTGTTGTTTCTGACATCACCCCCGTGGTATTTTCATCATCTTTCATTCATGATTGCTTGTTCTCTGCTGTTACAGTCACTAGGTTTCCCCGACCTGTGTCGCCTCTTCAGGATGTCGCTGTCATCATTGGAAGCCGCGAACAACTGGCGGTGCTGTTGCAGCTGTACGATCATCAGCTGGAACATGAGGGCACCACAGGCTGGGAGACTCTGCTATGGGTAGTCAATCAGCTGTGAGTTCATTTGTGTCTTAGGGCACCTAATCTTAAAATGTGTCAAAATTAATAGTTCTTAAGCATGGTCTGTGGCATTCACATTCGCTGAAAAAATTGCTTCGCCCAGGATTTTTCTCCTGGGAAGCTGAGAAACCTCAGAGAGAAGGAAAACAATTCTTATCTCATTTGCTTCTCCTCTGTTGTGCTCATGTGTGGAATGTTTAGAGATTGTTTACACACAGATGATTGTTTCATTGTTCTCCAGTGTGAGTTGTTTTGACTTATTGGCCAATTGGTGCCAAGCTGTGTCGAGACTCTGGAAAGAGTCATGAGTTTTCATTATTATCTTTTTAGCATTCAGTAAGTATCCTCTCTGTATTCTTTAGTATAGCATATATTCTTTAATATAATATAGAATTATAAAGTAATAAATTAGCCTTCTGAGAATAAGGAGTCAGATTCATTAGTCCTGCCTTTGTCGAGGCATTTCCCTGGAAATACAATACATGGTCATGTTTAACAATTACTGAATATAAGAATGCTATGAATGATTGCATTTGAGAATTACCAAAGAGGAAAACTTAATTTACTTTAGGCATTTTAATTTTCATGCTGAATTGCCTTTGATTTTATTCAGAAAATATCAAGTCTAGCAGAATATGTAACTATTTGCTCTGAAAACTTCTTTCTTTTATTTTTGCATCAGTATACTTAATTCTCTTGCAAAGTACAGATTGTTGTATTTCATCTCGTGATAGCAACAGATGTTTGAAAATATGGGTCAGACTTTTCTGGCACTTAAACCATTGCTTTCTTCACGGGTCAGGAATTGTACAGAACATGTAGCTAACTTTATTAGAACCAGTAGTGCTCTGTGTGTGCATGTATTTATTAATATAAGCAATAAATCTACACAAATGCAGATGGACAAAAGCAATAAGTCAGAGTAGTGTTTAATATCCTTTTGTTTTCTGATTTTTAGGCTACCACAGCTTATAGAAATAGTTGGCAAGATCAATGTAGCATCAACTGCCTGTGTCCATGAATTCTCTAGATTTTTCTGGAGACTTTGTAGGACATTTGGGAAAATTTTTACAAACACTAAGGTAAGATATTACTTGAAATATTCTATACCCTTGATAACATATATTCTCTATATTTACAGTATGTTGGAACACTCACAGTTTGTGACCATTTATATTTTCATGTCACATTGATGCTTTTCCATAAGTACATTTAAACCTGCTACTTTTAGAGCTGTCTTTGTGTCCTTTTCTGGTTTTGGTAATTTTGGAATTGCCTTCTGTCTTGCCTAACCAGGGACACTTTTTTTTAAAACTATATTCTTCATATTTCTTTTGTGAATGACAGAGAGAGTAGGAGAGATCGTCCTAATTCTGGTTATTTAACAACTTTCTTCAGAGCACCATACTGTTCACTCTTTGCAGTGTACATAAGTACTCCAGCTTTACTTGATTTGAAAATTTGAAATTGATGCCTTCCCAGACTGAAATATTTTTTGGAGGTGGTATCTAAACATTTTTATCAAGGAATTATATCGTTTTTGTCAATAAAATAACTTCTGAATAAAATTTAAAAATACTTCAAGGGAAATTGTCAAACATGAGAGGATTACCTAAAGATAAAACTCTGTTGGCAGTATGTGCTAACTCCAGAGAGGGGATTGTTGTTGTTTTGTTTTGGGGGATTTTTTTCCTTTGTTTTGCAATTCTTTTTATTTTTCTAAGTTAATTGACACTGGTAACAGGTCAATTACCATTGACCAGTTCTTACATGAGATTAATCATCCTTTGCATAGGTAAAACCACAGTTCCAGGAGATCTTAAGACTGTCTGAGGAAAATATAGGTAAGTAGCTTTTTACTGAAATAAATTGATCTTAACTGCAGCAGGAAAAACTTTCATTCTTTTGTTCAAGTAACATTGTGAAGTTGCAGTTCTCAAATTTGTTATTTTTGTGAAATGTTGAAAAATCTAGTCTTAATCTGAATGGAACATTCTGAAGTTGTAGATTGTGTGTAGGGTAAAAAAAAAATCTCAAATCCAAATACCTCTTGAGTATTATTTGAGCACATTTCTGTAGATATGCATATAAATTCTTTGTGTATATATCAAAAGGTGATTGAATCCATAATACTTAAATACACACATGTAAGTCTACTATAGATAATATATGTGTCCTATGCTCATGTGTATGTATAAAACCAAAAATCTTCACTGTGTTTCATTAGATTCCACAGCAGGAAATGGAGTGCTAACAAAAGCCACAGTTCCCATCTATGCAACAGGGGTCCTTACATGTTATATTCAGGTAGGACTGGGTTTCTGTTTCTTTGTTGTATAGTAGTGTGTGAAACTTATTTTTAAAAAATACCTAAACATTGCTGTGTTCATTGAAAACTTACTGTTCTTGTGTGTTGAAGGTAGGTAGATGAATGGGCAGCTGTAAATATATTTACAAAGTTTTCTAGTCAGGTGGTGATGGACATTTAGATCATGTGTTACCATGCCCCTCTATCAAAATTCTATTAATGTTGTTCCTGAAATGGGTTCTCAGCCATTTAACTGTGAACTTGGCAAACGTCATGGTGCAAAACAGGTACTGAAACAGGTAAATTGCCATTTGAAGCCTAGTGGGAGTCTTAAATTTTCATGTTACCTAGTACTAAAGCAAGCACACTATAAATCTTACCTAATCTTCCAGCAATGAGCAGCCAAGGTCTAGTACTCACATATCTTACAAGAAAAAAAAGAAATACTTCATAATCTTACAAAATTTTAGTGCATTTAATTTATAAACTTTCAGGAGTCATAAATGTGCTTAAGTACTGTTCTTAGAAGTTTCTTTAAGAAAAGAATTTAAGCATGAGTATGTGCTTAGTAGATGAAACACCATCTCGTGTGTTTGCTTTGAAAGGCTCTTGTTCTTTAAACACATTTTTGAAGTTCCTAGGAAAATTGTTAAATGCCTAATCTCATTTGTTCTTTTCCATAGTTTGTGTCCTCTGCAGCTGTAGGTTGCCATCATAACCTCAGCAATCCTTCTGCGCATTGATCACTGTGTGATAACTCCCTTCCTCCCTTCTTTCAGGAAGAAGACCGCAAGCTGTTAGTTGGATTCCTAGAAGATGTAATGACCATGCTTTCACTGTCCCATGCTCCTCTTGATAGCCTGAAAGCTTCCTTTGTGGAACTAGGGTAAAGAATATACCTTGGGGTTAACTACATCTAGATACATTAGAAGCTTGTAATAAAAAGCTGCTAATCTATTTGTAATTTTTAATAACTGTGATGCTTTGGATGAATAAAGGGTATACTTGCTTTTTTTCCCTTCTGTAAATGTAATTTCTAGGTTAAAAATGTAGCAGTTAAAAAAAAATGAAGTGTGGAAGAGGAGCACCAAAATCCAAACAAAAAATTTCCACAAAAATAACTCATTGAGAATACAACGGAAATTAATTTTTTATTTACCATACTATTGTCATTTGTTCTAGATATGTATTTGCATTTAATACAATTCATTTAAAATTATGTTCTTAAAGTTGAGCTTGGATTCGGTTAATTAACTTGTAAAAAGAACATGTTTTCTAGACTGCAACATGGTGTAATTCTTTCAGAATGAGAGAAGTATTTTGTATCCTTCAGAAAGGATAAATGCTGGAGTTTTAGATTTGTTGAACTCTGCAATTTTTAGGTAAAGAGCACATCCAGGGCTTGGGAGTATTTTTGTTTGATCAGTTGCCCAACTGTTTTCTTCTAGTGCAAACCCAGCTTATCATGAGCTACTATTAACTGTTTTGTGGTATGGAGTTGTCCATACTTCTGCTCTTGTTCGGTGTACAGCTGCTAGAATGTTTGAGGTAAGTGTTGTCCAAACTGTTTTTCACTTTTTTAAAAACTAGAGTTTATTTTTTAAAACAGGGATCAATCAGACAATGTTTCTACATTCTTAATAATTGCAAAAACTTAAATAAGCTGTGTACTGTGTGATGGAGCAGGAGGTCGTTGTTCAGTTGTTTCTGTATCTGTTCTGTGTTCAGCAGCACATCTTTCTATAGGTCTGTAGTTAAATATAAGCATCTCTGAGTTTTAACTTCTGCTTTTGCTATTCAACGCATCATCAGTAGTCTAATATACAACTTAACATTTTCAGTAGGTCTCGTGTATGCTCATGCAATGCACTTGCATTGTAATTCAAACTAGTTTTCTTTGTACCAGATATGGTGGTGAAGACACAAATATAATTCTGTATTTTTTGTAGAAATTCAAAGAATTTTAAAATAATTTACAGTTAGTTTACTTGCCTCCTAATGACAGCTTAATTTTTCCCTTAGTATCTATAAATTTTGGTCAGAATAAAGACTGAAATGTGTACCTAGTAAGTTTGCTTTTATTTTCACATCACATCTTTGTTTCATCAAATGTTCATTTTAAAAGGCATATGCGAAATTCTGAGACATATTCCATTGGCTGAACAAAGAGAACTTTCTGTTCATTGCATGTTAAAAACACATATTTCTGATCACCATTACTTTTTCCTTCTCTTTTTTTTGGGCATTTTTCCATATATGTCTCATTTGGATAGCTTTGGAGGGGACCTCTAGCTGAACCTGACATCTTGTATCCATTTGCAAAAATAAATCTGAAGTCTGCCTCAGAAAAAAAGAGCACTTAACATATCCATCAGCTTTCTTTAGTGACACTGAGCAAGTCAGAGCAGAGACAGCAGTAAACAACCACAACAAGCTCCATCCTGAGACTTCAATTGAAAACATCCCACAGTGTCCTCTTTTGCTGGGTTTTTTTTTTTGCCCCTCCTTTTAAAAAGGAAATGGTAGTTTTTGGATGCTGTTACAATCTATTTGCATATTTTCCTTCTCACAAAAGCACTTTTTATATCCTATTTGTAACAATAAGTTCTTTTTCCCTAATAAATATTAGCCAAATGTATGAAACAGCTCAGTTACAAGAGGCTGTTGTCTTGGTTGCAGCTTCTTTTCAAATTCAGCTGCATGTTGATTATTTTTAGGCAGTCTATGCATGCTATTTCATATCTTGTTTCTTAGCATATTTCAATTTTTACCAAAGCCTAGGCAGCTTTTTTTTTAATGCTTTTCTTATTTGAAAATAGTAGCATATTGCTATTTCCTGGATAGCCATGGCATACATATTTATACATGGTATTATGTAAATTTGAGAAGTCACCTGTGCAAAGAGGTAGTAATAGCTGGTTACTGCTGGAAGATTCCATCACTTGTGGAATTTCTGTAACCTCAGAGGCTGAATGGCAAAGCCCAGTGATTAGATAATATGATGAAGAGTATGTGACCTGCAGGACAGCTGTATGAGAACAGTGAAGATTCTGAGCAGCACAGAGACTGCAGGCCTGACTGCTTTACCGAACCTTTATAGTCTGTTAAGGGTTGGAAGGATACAGAAGTGATGTGGGGCCTTTCCACTCCCTTGCTTCTTTGGGGCTGGAAGCATTGTGCTACCATTTTAAGCTGTAGTATGTGTAAGTAATTATCTAGAGGAATCAAGAAAAGATAACAATTTACATTGTCTGTCTCACTCTAACCTTACATGCTGCTACACGGCTTTGCCACCCAGCTGTTCCTGTTGCTTCTGAATTAATGTTTGTAGTCAGCAGCTTCCCATTTGAATGTTGATGCAAACAGATTTGATTGCTCTGATTTGAATAAGTCTAAGTTGACTTATAAATCAGCTTTTTTTGCTGGTCTGTTTGGGTTCAGGGCTAGGGACACATCTTCAGAATGACACTTGTATTATAAAGCGTGCTTTGTTTTCTGTATGATGGAATGCATCTGTTCTCCGTGCTTTACCATACTTAAAAATGTGGCAGACCAGACAGGAATGAAGCTGAGATCATTCTAAATTATTTGCTAATTATACAAATCCCAAGTATTTGATTTTTTTTTTAAAGCACTGTATAACTGCTAGGCTTTTCTCTAAATGAAGGTTCATAAAGAAAACTTAAGTCTCTGTTTGTCTAAGACTGAAAATTGTAAGCATTCTCTATCTTAATAAATGTGAAAATTAGCAAAGCTATATATGAGAGTAAAACCATCATAAGCAAACCATGAGCTGTGTGCTTAACAGCTGTTTGAAGAGTAGCCCATGAACTCAACAGATTGGCACTTGGAGTTGTTGCCAATGTAAATAATTGTGAAATGTATTAATGTTAAAATGTTGTAGTTGAGCTGACATCCTAATACTTTCTGAATAACAAGTATAGGCTGTTGCAACTTTGCTACTCCAGGTGCTTTGCAGCAATATTGTCTTATGTTCTTACACAGCTTCTCCCTGTTCTTCCTTCTGCAGTAACTGTCTGTGAGGCCACACTCTGTTCCATGTCTGTGTCACTCATGCACGCACACACATACATGACACATAAATGTTGATTAATAGGAGTGACTCCTTTATATGGAAGCTTTTGAAAAGTCATGTTCCTTCCAATATTTTACAGCTTACTTTGATTTAAATTCAGAGTTTATAAAACAGGAATGCTCTAACAAATAGCAGAATGTAAAATATTCTTTAGTTAGAAGATGTAAATACTGTCTGGTTTTGGTACTGGTATACTCACAGCTACTGCTTTTCCCAGAGGAATAGCTTAGAGTTTGTGTTCATTATGCAATATGAGTAATCAGAATGTAGCTAAACATTAAAAAGACACTTCATATTTCTTATATAAACTTACTGATAAGATTTTGATATTCATCTCCTAAAACCAGCGAATACATGCAGACTTCCTTACATGAGACACAAAATGGAAATATCTAATCATTCCTCTTTTTATTAATAAAGACAAACCCACCATTTTGTTGAATATGAAAAAAGTTTGCAACTTGGTTTGAAAATCAGTAGGTTTTCATATGAAGAAAGCATGTAAAGGGCGTATGCAGCAAAGGCTTGTGTATAACTACATAGGTAATGTAAAAAAATCACCTGGGAACATCTGGATTCAAACAACTTTGTTGTGTTCATGGATAATGAGTTTCACTGTGATTTCAAGCTTTTAACGTTTGGGATGCACTGCAACAAATACATCTCTTCCTTAGTTTGCCAAAAGACTTGAGGGAATACATTTCATGGCTCTAGTTCAAGGATTCTCCATTTTCTCCCTGCACAGACCAGCATTCATACTGTTTGGATGGTTGTTAAATATCAAGGAGTCCTGAAGGATTTTCAGGAAAACATTTTGGCATCTGGGAAGGTGCTATTTGTCTCATTGTACAAGGTGTGAGATGTATCACTCAGTGTGGGGAAATAACACACATTTAGCCTAGTCAAGACTTCTGTGTTGCATGTCACAGCCACCTACTATGATAAATATTGTTGTGTAGAGTTAGGAACAGCATTTACATGAAATCGTCAAATTCAAATTGACATCGCTTTAGTACTTAATTACACATAACTTTATTTATAGTTATAATTATATCTGAAATAAAACATGGTTTGAGTTCGTTTTAAAATATCTGAAAATAAAGAAAACATTGTATTGTTGAATTTGTCATGTTTGTCCTGGTTGCCAAACCACTTTAGCTTTCTTCATGCCTTTGCATTTATGAAGCTCTAGTGTAGCAGTATTTGCTTAGCTTCTAATTTTGGTTTGCTTTTTGTGTTTTTTCTTTCTCTCTCTTGGTTTTGCCGTTCTTCTTCCCATGATACTGTGCTCGCTCTTTCCGTGCATCACCTGTGATACCCCCCTGCTCCGACCATTCAGCTGTTGGTGAAGGGGGTACATGAAACTCTGGTAGCTCAGAGAGTTGTTCCTGCTCTCATTACTCTCTCCAGTGACCCTGAAATGTAAGTTCCCTGTCTTATGTACCTAGCATCCCTCTTAATACTTAGAAAGAAATAACCATCAGTTATGTCTCTTAATCTAGCTGAACAAAAATTAAATTCCTTTTAAAGGAAAGTAACCTTTAAATCATTTCTTTCTAAATAAAAGGGTTTACTGCAACAGTTGGATTTAAACTGTATAAAAATGCTGAATAAACTTTAAATAGAAAACTAAATCCATGTAATTTAAATTTTGTTTATATTTAATTATGTTCTCAGTTTTCAAATTTGCTTACATCATTTCTGGTAGAAAGCTGGATACTACTATTCTGTAATGCTGTCAGCTTTGCTACTGCAAATTAAATATCCACCTGCATTAATGAAATACAAAGTAGTTTTGGCAGCATCTTATGTCTTATATACAACGGTGGCACTTCATTTCGTGGACATGCTGATGTGGTATTTCTTTCCAGCTAAGGAGGGATGCTGTGCTAATCTCACTAACAACTTGTTGCTAACAGATGCTCCAGCATGAATAGAGTTTTAGTGGCTTTAATGTCTTGTGTGGGTGACTAAACCAAGAAAAACCCCAAGAGTCTGCCTGCCCATCCTCAGTCACAGCTAACCCAGTTGTTCACGTTTACCAAAGCGTTTTTTATTGCATGTTGACTGGTTTACAGCTGGCTCTTCGAGGCATGAGTGAAGCGTTAGTTGGCAAGCGGGTTGCTCCGGCCCTTGTTACCTTGTCCAGTGATCCTGAATTGTGAGTTTCAGACTGAGACCTTGAGTTAATCCTGTCTTTTTCCTGGTCTGCTTTTTTTTTTTTTTTGTTTCCCTTTGTCATTGCTAGAAACTAATGTAACTTAAAAGTACTAATTTTAAAATTTTTATTTAAGTAATTTTGTTCTTGGTGTTGAATACATCTTAAAAACCCTATTCTTCCATTGTAGTTCAGTAAGGATTGCTACAATCCCTGCTTTTGGGACCATCATGGAAACTGTTACTCAGAGAGAGGTAAGACACCTGTTGTCAACTGTGTTTTTGTAGCATAAGAAGAGGATGATTTTTTTAATAAATACAGAATAAAAGAAAGGGCAAGTCATAAATTCTTTCTTTATTTCTTTCTTTGTCATATTCTCTTCCAAAGTGCTTTTGGATTTTGCAATGACCTTTTTTTTCCTCTCTAAACAAACCAACCCTTGTAACTAATAAAAACATTTCCTTCTAAATCTCAACCAAACATAAACAAACAGAGACAGATAAGTAGAGGGGAGGCCTGTGCTAGAAGATGGGAAATCCCATGCTGAAAATGTTTCTTTAAAATCTTCTCCAGTACAGTTGTGAAATCAAACTCTATTATTTCCAAATGAAATAGTTCTATTTTAAAAGAGTGACCAAAAGCATCCACATATTGTACTTCTGTATACTGTACTTTTTTAGGTGCTTTAGGATATCCTGCTTGGCTCCCAAATATTTTGGAAGAGCAAAAGACTCTTGTTGTTCCAGTCATATATGCTGGTTTAGCCCTTGATTTAGTCCCAGATGGCACTGAAAGACATCATGACATTTAGCAAAATATTCCTTGAAGATAATGCAGAGATGCAATTCCTCATCATTTTTAATGTAATAGATAAGAATTTTGAAGATAGCCAGGATTCTGCTGTAAACAGTAGAAAACTGGATTTTGTTTCATGTAACAGCTGTGCAATCAAATTTCTTCTGTAAGGCCTTGCAGCTTTTTGCAGAGCTTGCATTCTTCCCGTAATTTCAACATATTCTAAAAGAATGTGTTTGAGGAAATGTGAGTAATGTGAGTCAAGTCAGTGATGACTCACATGTACTTGGACGATGGAAAAGTTAGAATTTTGCAGCTTGGAATGCATGCCTATAATCAGTTGGGAAGAATATTGTTTTGTTACCACACAGAAATTACTGTATCCATTGCACTAATTATGATAAGCCTTAGAGTACAGAGGTGATAGCACCTTCCAAAATGTATCATAAAATGTTACTTTTTTCAAGTTTGAATCCAAATTAAATACCTGTCTCATTTTTGGTTTTCTAGCCTTTAGTTGAGGGAATCTTTTTAATTCCATTGATTTTATGATAGTTACTTTTACATCTCTGTCCTCTGCAAAAAAAATTTCAACCCATTAACTGAGATACATTACAAAAAATGCTATTAATTGGTTTCTAATTAAACAGGAAAATTTTGTAGTTATTAAGTAAGAGGGAAACTGTAGTAGCAGGTAAAAAAAGGGAGTATCAGACTCAAGGAAATCTCAGGAGGAAAAATCAAGTATATGGGAGCACCTGTCTGTTGTTAAAAACAGATTTAAAAATGAGATCAGATTACAACCCTGGTAACAGTCTTTAAAATATAGAGGTTCATTGAAGAGTTTGAAACATCCTCTTAGAATAAATCTGTAAATTAGAAGAAAGTCCAAGATCTGTCATCTGAAATACAGAAAATTGTAAACATACTCTGAACTCACCATAACAATTTCTAGCATCTTGATTCTTTTGTGTTCTGTCTATTTCTCTGGGAATATTTAAGCTTCTGGAGAGAGTAAAAATGCAGCTGGCATCTTTCCTGGAGGACCCTCAGTATCAAGACCAACATTCTTTACATACAGAAATCATAAAAACGTTTGGAAGAGTTGGACCAAATGCTGAGCCCAGATTTAGAGACGAATGTAAGTTGCATCCATGGGAAGATGCAGTCTTCTTCTCTCTGTCCAAAAGCTAATAGGTATGCTGGTTACATTGATGGGGTTTTTCTTTCTTTTCTGTAAACTGTTATTACTTCAAAGGCACTCCAAGGTAATTTTTTGTTTCAGATGGTGTTACCACAAATTTTTATTTCAAGTTTGAGTCAATCCATTAAATGTGCAAGGGCAATCCCATCAAAAGCAATTGTTTGCAGTTCTTATTCCATGCTGATGTGTGAAGTTTCAAATGCCTGCAGTTGCCACATAGCACCTGTTTAATGCTAAACAAGTCTGTGGAAAGCAGTTTCAAATACTTATTGCTGTATTTACTTTTCCAGTTGTTATTCCACACTTGCACAAGTTAGCCTTGGTCAACAACCAGCAGTCTGTTGATTCGAAGAGATTGGATATCGCTACCCACCTGTTTGAGTCCTACAGTGCTCTTTCCTGTTGCTGTATCCTTTTTTCAGGGGAAGTCTAGCTGTTAGTTCTCTGGTGGTGAGAGAAGTTCAATATTAGAGAAATAACTAAGTTTGTCTTTGGATTTTTGATATAAAACATGATCTATTCAACATAAGGGGGAGGTTTTCCAAGATGGTGAATATCACAGATTAGCAGCACACCAGGTGCCCCCCAAGCCTCTCTCCTTCCCCTCCTCGGCAGGATGGGTGAGGGAGAAAATCAGATGGAGGAAAAACTTGTGTCAAAATAACAGCAGTTTAATAAAGCATAAACTATGTATGGAAGCAAAGCAAAACAGAAGATTTTTCTCTCCCTTTCCATTAGCAAGCAATATCCAGTTACTTTCCAGGAAGCAGGGCTTCAGCACGTGCAGCAGCACTCTGGAACACAAACATCACAATAACAAATGGTATCCTGCCCCACCACCACCTTCTCTTAGTTTTTATATCTGAGTAGGCATCATATGGTGTGGAACATCCCTCTGGTCGGTTTGGGCCAGCTGTCCAGGCTGTTTGCCCTCCCCCAGCCTACTGATGGGTGGGAATGTTTAGAGAGAGCACTGATGCTGTGCCAATGCTGCTCAGCAGTAGCCTGAGCACTGGTGTGGTACCAACACCAAGATTTCTAGGTACCAGTGCAAAGCACAGCACTGAGGGCTGCTGTGCAGAAAATGAGCTCTAGCTCAGCCAGACCCCTTACAGTGGAACTGATAATTACTTGAAAAAACAAAGCTGCAAAAACAAAACTCTTGATCTTAACTGATTAATCAAGAAAAAAAATCCTAAAAGGATTATATGGGTGTATGAAATACGTGATGTTAAATATGTTCAACATCTTTTTTCCTTTTTATTAGCTGTGAAGTGTCAAATGCCATTCCGTTTTCTTAGTTTTGCTGCTGCCCTTGTGTTCCATAAAGCAACATTATCAGAAGACAGAAAAAAAAGTATAACTTCAAAAGGCAATCATTATAATACCTTAACAACCTGGGTTTTAGTTATTTCAGAGGATTTAATGGTCAATCACTTTTTACCAGGACTGAAGTGTTTACGAACCGACATGGAACATCTCTCTCCAGAGCATGAGGTGAGCAGTAAACTATGTTTACTGAGTATGAGATGTAGGTGGCAGAAGTTGAAATGTGATGGCATTTAAAACCAGAAGTTAAGGAGAGCTGCTCATAAGTGGTTTCAAAACATGACATTGAGGAGGTTTTTTTGATAAAGAATAGGTCACATGATTTCAAAACCAGTAAAATCTGGTAAAATATATTTCTAAGCTGAGAATCTCTGCAGACAAATACTCAACCATCAGAAATGCATGTGGAAACATAGATCTTCCTAGACTGAAGAAAAAGGAAATGTTTTTACCATCTTTATGTTAGTCAAACCAAGGATGCACTAAAATCAATGGCTACAATATATCCAGTTAGGCAAAAGTTTCATTTTCTTTCACCAATGGGATAACTGATCAAGTACTTCATTTTTGTAGTTAATGTAACTTCTAAGGTTTAAATGCATAGTCAGTTCAAAATATACCCTGAATTACAACAAGGAGTTTGATTGAGTTTGAATCTTGTCAGAGAAGGAATTGAGGACTGGAATAGGATTTAAAATAAATCAGTAGGTAACGACAGCTCTTAATTCTCCATTACCACATTTTGCATTACTGTGCTTAAGTGACTTAAGTCGTAATGCCAACTGCTTTGGCTTTTTAGCCAGAGAGCAATATAAAATTAAAAGTATTTACTCCTGCTCCTGTGGGTTAGGAAACTCAGTACAGGCCTTACAATTTTTATCCCTTTTTTTGTAGAAATGGATATCTAGGGCTTGATCAGCTTCCCACTTTATTGGGATGTTTGTAGGCATCATGATAAAGGCTTCTGAGACCCAGTGAGTTCTCGTGTGTCTTGGAAGCCTTCTATCTGAAAATCTTGTTTTCTGAAATGAATGTCATTTACTGTCTCAAATAATTAGACATTTGCATAAACAGAATTAAGCCTTTTTTTACTATTTTGGCCTCTATGGTGTTATTCATTATTCAAATGGCATATCACTTGACAAACACACATACATTTTCTAAATCACAGAGCCTTAGCTCTAATGCCTTTAACGTCAGTACAGAGTTTATGCTCATCTTGGAAGGGTAACATTGTGGCTTGTGTGGTCCTGTCTGGCAGCGCTTACCACTCATACCTCATACTTGTTTTCCTTTCTTTCATATAAATAAAAGCATAAGTTGTGCATTTAGGTCAGAGCTTCTCATCTTTAAAGGAAACATTTCACCTTGTGCAGACATTCAGATACTTTACCAGCATCTCTAGTTCAATGTCAAGTCCCTTCTTCCTCATTTTCCACTTACCTTCTATGGGTTTTCAAAGAAAGTGGATTTGAGTTGCATGATAGTGAGTCAGTACTTCGTAAAAATATTTAGTCCATATACTGCAGTACTGTTTATAAGACTTCAGTATGTTAAGTCTCTTAAGTGTCTCTAAATATAGAGTTAGTACTCTAAAATATTTCTCTTTAAGGAGATGTGATTTCATAAGCAGTCCTATGACCAAACAAGGAGAACCCAAGGGAGTAGGTCTGAGCAGTATGTGCAAAGCCATAATGTAGAAATTTAGAAATTAATCTGCAGAAGAGGAAAGAATTGCTCCACTTCATCCAAGAATTACACAGCCTTCCCAGAAGGAGCTGTGCAATGGATGGCAAAGCCATCCTCTTATTGAAATGATCCTGGGTCCTTGATGAATTATTCTCCTCTTTGGTCAAGGCTTCATATTTGTTATTTGGAACATCTGGATTCAGATGTACAAAAATGTAGGAAAGCTCCAGTGCTCAGGTGGAAATTATAAAAATTATGGCGGCTACGCTTGAAAATTTCAAGTCTTTTTTGATACAGAAAAAAATTCTGAATGTATTTCTCTTGTACCTCTGTACTCTTAAGCATTAAGTATTTGTATAACATTTTATGCCAATGGAGGACAGCAAATGTAGTAGGAAGAGTTGTAGTCCTGTTTGAATGTTGATCTCTGAAACACTCAAGGGTGGGTAACACCTGCTACCTAAAATGATTCAAATGCTGAAGTAATACTTGTGGATTAACAGGGTGAGCAGTGGCACACGTCTTCAGACCAGACCACATCTTATCAGTGTAATTAATGGTTTTGCTGCGGACTTGACAGAAACCAGCATTGTAATTTGTGCAAAAACATTTAAAAATAGTTATTGGTGGTAACCATTAGTGACTGATCTGTATTTTAGAGATTGAAAATAGTCTTTTTCCTTTGTTGTATATATTCAGGTTTGGTGAGGCAATACTAATTTTAATTGCTTGTAGCTTTGAGATTTTAAGTTTAGAGTCTCAGAAAAGTATTCAGCCTTCTTCTGAGCTGTGGCAGAGGAAGTTTCCATTTATGTAGTGTGTCTATATATGTGTGTGTATATACGTATTATAGTTTCATACTTTGCATTCTAATTTTTTTGCCCAAGTGTTGCAAAACATGTCTTGGTTTGAAAAGACAGGTGTCAGCTAAGGAAGGCAGGAGCCTCTCTTGAAATGGAAAATGTAAACCCCCTCCCTCCAAATTGTTATAAATTTGAAATTAAGGGGCTCTCAGGCAAAGATACGGGAGTAAAAATAACAGTTCTTTATTAGGAAAAGTAAAAATAAAAATGCAGTAATACAAAACAACACTGACAGAGTCAGAATACGACCTGACACCCTGTTGGTCAGGGTGTTGGTAGCAGTCCCAATAAATGGTGGCTGCAATCCTCCTGGAGTGGCAGATGTGGTTCTGTTGCAGCAATGATCCTGTAGAAGGGTGTAGTTTTCTTCTGAAGGTCCAGGGGTGGTGTAGATGAGCCTGGTCTTCCTCTGGGAATCCAGTGGGAAAAGGCTGCTTGTGGTGTTCAAATCTCAGATTATATCCAGGAAGGAATGCTTGGGCAGAGCATCTCACAGTGGGATGATGTAATTTTATCAGTCATGCCGTGAGATTCAGTGGCCCAACAATAGAAGATACCTCGTGGAGGGAGGATGGGTTGTGGAAGAGATAAAGAAAAACGGCCCATTAACAGAAGATAACTGTCCCACCTCTGTGTCAATAGAATATACACCCCAGCCATATCTTGCATTTGCAACCTAAGACAAAACACTTTTGTCTTAATGTGCTGAAACAGTACTATTGTGAACAGGGCATGGAGTCATTTCTCTGTCCCATGAATTAACTGTATGATTTTGCTTTAAAGCCTGCTATTGGGAATAATTTCCTTATTTTTGGATAAGTGTAAAAATGTCAGTGTGGAAGTGTCTTCAGACTTAAATACTCTGCAGAAACCTTTTTAACACTGTACTTGCTTAAATAAAAGGGAAAAGCCATGAGTCATAGGAACTCTGGAAGACACCAGTGGAATGGTATCAAGTTGATTTTAGCACTTCCTTTCATTAAGATACTATCCTAGGATACCGTCACACTTTTTTCTTTCCTTGCTTTTTCTTTCTGCATAATGTTCATGAAGATATAGCATGTCACAGATGTAGGTTTGTTTTAGTGCTGTTTTTGAAAGCCTGGGGCAAAAGGACAGAGTCCTGAACTTCTGTAACTATTTGGAAAACGTTTTCTTCCTTAAGTTATTTTGAACGTTTTTGTTGTTTCTAACCACAAGGCATTATCAGATAACTGGAACTCAAAGGCACTTGAAAAAAAAAACAGGGAAATGTTTTAAACAGTTCTGCTAATGTCAGAATTATTTGCAGAGAAGATTTCATAAGAAGTGTTAAGGTAAAAGGAAAAATGTCAAATGTCATGTATCTCTCTTCCTTATGTCTTAGGTTATTTTGAGCTCCATGATAAAAGAATGTGAACAGAAAGTGGAAAACAAGACCGTCCAAGAACCACAAGGGTAAGACTTCCACTTCCCTTTTTCTATGTGCCTCCAGAGGAGTGTTCTGCAGACTACATTCCATAATGTTGTCCAAGTTTGTGACCTGAAATCCTGCACTGACATGTGCTGTATTTGAAAACAGATTTTGGAAACTTTATTACAGTGTTTCTGTCTCCAGTGTAAAACATGAGACAACAATTACTTTTATAGGAATTATGTTCTTGGTTCTTAATTTTTTGTTCATTTAAAGCTGAATTTAAATTTCTGTCCTGAATCTGAGAAATCAGGGAGTGCCTGGCCTAAGTGCTTAGAGCAATGTATGTAGCAGACACTTTGCCACCCATGGGGGTGGCGACCTGCAGGCTGAGGGAATTGTTCTGGTCCGGAAGGGCTTGCTTCAGGCTGCTCTCCTGGTTTGCACAGGATTGGGACACACAAGAACAGTTTCCCCAGTGTATAAACTGACCCCTGTGTGAGTGTACTGGTTAGGCAGTAAGCTGACTTGGGGAAAAGCCCACCTGTGTTGCACTTTGGTAAAACAACCTTTCCACAAACACAGAGTAAACCCAGCTCTCCAGGGAGGCAGCAGACACACAGTGCTCATGCATCCATTTGCTTCACCTGTAGAGATGGTGTCATTTGTGTGCACTTCCTGATTACAAAAGTAGCCAACAGACCCACCTTGGATGTGGAAATTTGGAATGCTCAGTGTCATTACAATGAGTTGTATGTGCTCTTTTGCCTGCTTATTGCCTGGAATGGCATGCCAGCAGGTAAATTCTTGTGGATTATTATATAACTTAACAAATCCTTAGCAATGCTGCCAAGGAAGTGTGTGAGAAGGTATCTGAAAAGAGAATCTGTTCTCAATCCCAGTGCTTTGTCACGAGAATTGAGAAAATTACTGAAGCTTGTTCATGTCATGGTTCCTTATCTGTGAAAAGCTGATAGAATTTACTTCTTGAAAGAGCTCACCCATAGTGAGCTGGAAGCAACTGGTAGTCTGAGAATGATTAAAATAATAAAGGTGTACAAGAGCTCAACAAAAGAAATGTAAAATAGAAAAAGGGTCAGTCAGGCACCAAGTAAAATACTTCAGGCTTTACTAGTAGTAAATACTGTGAAATGACAGTCAGTCCTATTAAGCCTTTGCAGAAACAAATAAATGCAAACCTCATACATCATCTAATGTATTTCCTTTAGGAATGCAACTGCTGAAAACTAAGATATGAAAAGGATAAGTCTTTGCAATCTGTTCCTTTGTTCTTTAATTAGCCTTCCCCTTTCTTATTCAACGTCAGGCTATGGTTGTCGTCTTGTACTGTACAAAATTAACAAGAAATATTTTACCACTGAAGAAATGACCTTTTCATATACGTAAATATCTCTGTTTTCTGGCTAAGTGCTTGCTGATTTCAGTTCCTAATTTCTATGACAAATACATATTTGACAAAGGATTTAAATACAACTGGGATATAAATTACTGGGGTTTGTTAACAGCACGGCAGTGCAGGCACAGAAAACAAAATGGGTGCAAAAGCAATCTTCTGATGTTCTTGTCCTGTCTTTTCCCCTTGCTGTTAGAAAAACTTGGTCAAATAATACAGGATCAAAGAAATCGTTTTTTCAGAAGATTAAACTCTGCATTTTGAAATATTAACCGCTTTTGTTAAACATTTTGTTTAGCAATTAACAAGGTATTTTAATCAAGGATAACAACTGATATTACAAACTGATTGCTATAAAATGCCCATTAGCAAAGTTTGTTTTGCCCTAGAGCTTCCCCATAAAACAGGCAGAACTCTGTGTGGCATCTGATTCATCTGGACACCAGGAAAAATTTGACATTTATACATTATTTTTATTTGTGCATTGGGTTTTGTTTTGCTTTTTAAATAATGGATTGTATTAAACAAGATATACCATTGTTTTGTTGGGTTATTTGATTACTTTTTAAAGATGTGAGACTCCAATTATTTGATTTCATATTAATTTCTGCTATGTTTAAATATTCACTTTGCATAGTAATGGAAGTACTTTGGAGGCTATTAATTTTGGATATTTAAACTATTAAGCATGCAGGATGCAGTGGATTATGTTTCTGTGTACAGTAACAGTATTGGAAAACATGAACTTGTAGAGTCTGCAGTTGTTACTGTTTCATTTTTGACATCAGATGGCTGATGTGCCCCAAACTGTTTCAAGAACCAATAGAATACCTCCGTGTTTTCCTCAGTCTTATTCAGGATTATTAGACTAATGAAAGCATAGTTTGTTTAGAACTACAGGTTTAGAACTACCAGTTGCTAGGCTTTCTTTTCTGAAGTGAGCACTTTTATTTTCTTAATGCTGCTAATGCTTGGAATGTACAGTATTTCCCAAATAAGTTTTCGTAGCTACACCCAATTCTAGGATACCTCATGGTGTGAGATAGCTTCTTGTCCTTAACTAGCTGACAGTGAGTGTAAACTGTTACTTATATAGTTTATATGCCCTTGCTTTATCATGAAATCAAAGGAAATTGCAAAAGGCTCTCATCTTACTGTAGCAGTAATTTCCCAGCTGAGTTTTATCAGCTGGAAATATGTGATTCGTTAGTTGACTGGAGATGTTTAATCAAGCCAAAGATGTCTGGCTATGTGATAGTGCCTGAAATAAATGTTTTACTTTAAAAGTTTATCATTAAACTATTTGCAAATCCACAATACAGCTTTAGTGAGAAGCTTCTGTTTTATTTTTAAGGTACTTTAAAAAGAACCAGAAATCATTATTACTAAGCACCTTTTTTCTGTGATGTGAAATGGGAGAAAGAGCTGCATGTATCCCTTCTACCTTTGAAGAAATCATTCAAGTTCTGTTGAAACAATTCAGAGTTAGCTTCAGTTTTATGTCCTTGATGCAAGTGTGTCGGACAGAACAGCTTATAACTTTTCAGACTGAAAAGTCAGTTCCTGGAATCTGGCCTTTGCCTGTAAGACAGATTTTGTGGTCTTAGCTGTAATTTTGAAATGCAGAGTCCACACTGAGTTCACAAGAACGAATTTATTTGGTAATGTTTTCTAAAATTGTCCTTATCCAATGTTGATAAACACTTGCGATTTTGACTACAAATATAGGAACTATGGAATATTTGTTAATATTCCTGCTATGTACATTTGCTCTGTCTTGAGACAGATGACTCCTACTGTGCTAAAGAGCTTATATATATCTGAAGTTGAGCTCGCTGATATGTTGTTAATTTTAAAAAAATCTGTTAATTTCACATAGTAGGGATAATTTCTTAACATATTATTCAAAGCTTAGCATCCTATAACTTCAGCATTGCTTGCGTTGCTCAGTCTAGTTTGTGGGAAACCTATGAACTCTCCATTGTCCTGTGTAGTATGTCTCAATTAGGAACTTCCAAGCACAGGTAATAGGAGCCACATTCAGAAGAACCAGAAGAGGCAGCTCCTTACCCAGCAAGGGGCTGACCCAGTCAGGCTCAGCGTGAGGTTTGCAAGAAATTTTTAAGGAGATCGAAGGGAAGCTGATCAAGTAATATAAAATAAAGATTTATTGAGAATTACTAGGTTGACAATCCTCACCAGTTTTTAAGTCGGCTCAGGTGAAAGTAGTTGGAAAATCAAGAGTTGAAAATTAAGGAGAAGTGTCACTGTTTTGTACTTACCTTGCTTTTCTCATCTCTACACATCTGCTAATGTCACTGTTGGAGGCAGGTTACTTGGGTTAGAAAGGTCTGTGTCTGAACTGATACTGGTGAACTTACACTAAATAAACACAAGAATTGACATTTCTGGTGAGGAAGCAAAGGCAGTCTTTCAGAGAAGTATTTGTCACTACAGCAATTCCCCAGTAGGTAGCAAATGCTAATGTGGTGACGTCCAAAGGTACTGAAAATTAGTGCACAAAAATATTTTACTGTTTTCACAGGCACTGTGAACACATTATAATAAATTTACCATTATATGTATGGACTAGGTAGTGATGGGTTTTCAATTTTTCTTCACAGACTGGTCTTCTTTGTTGAAACCTATGAAACACAAAGACAATTTAATTGCTTAGTAAATAACAGCATAATGTTCTTTTTAATTTGTAGTCTCATGCCACTAAATGTTTTCCTTTCCTAGCTCGATGTCAATTGCAGCGAGCCTGGTAAGTGAAGATACAAAGACCAAGTTTTTGAACAAAATGGGCCAACTGACTACATCAGGTGCAATGTTGGCTAATGTGTTCCAGAGGAAGAAGTAAGATGGGAAAAGGAACTCCCAGCTAACACTAAGGTGGACCTCACAGAGACTGGTTCCTGTACTTGAAGTACTTGCCTTTTAATTTCTTCTGTCTTATGTTCTTGTAGTATAATTTTATTCTAACCTCCAAAGATATTTGCACTGCTTTTGAATATTGCTGTGTATCTGTTAATTTTGGGTTAACTGTGGTTGATATAAAACTGAAATCATAGTCTGTACCAAGTCCCTGTTCTGTGTTCTTGTCTTTCCAGCATATTTTTTTTTATATAGTGGAAGGTTTTGGTTTTTTTTATTTTCTGACAGGATATCAGCAAATATCTGTATTATACATGGAGCTATTCTGACGGTACTTAAAATAATGTAAATTTGAAGTCATTGTCATGAAGTAATAAAAGTGGAGATTACTTATGTATTTAAATTATGAGAGAGTAATGCAGATTTTTTAATTATGTTTCTAAAAAGAAGAGGAAGAGCCACCAGCATTTGTCTGTGCTTCTAGGGTTGTTTTTGTAAGTATTGTGCATCTTGAATCCAGAGGAATTGCAGTATCTAATGTGTGAGACTGCTTGCACTGCATCAGTCTGCAGGGAATGCTCATGTTTCACATGCTTTATGCCGACATTGTAAATGCTGTACAAAGTCCTTCAGATAAAATTCTCACATCTCTGTGGTTTTTTGAGGGTTTTTTTTCTTTTGTAGGGGTTTTTGTTTTGTTTTAAAGCACTTTACAAGTCTACACATCCACAGGCACATCCATTAAGTAAAGGAAAAACATGATAAATGAATAAATGTTTATAAATGTGTAAGCTACTTCACAGGGTCCCCAGTACAGTTCTGCACGCAGAGGAAACCTTATGCAGGACAGAGTCAGCTTTCATCTTGCACTGAGTGTGCAGTTCTGTGGACTGTGAAAACTAAAGATATTTTGTTGTTTAGATTGAATTTCAGTTCAAATTTAATTTTGGAGTGTTTGGAATTATGCTGAGTTTGATGTGCTGTTTCTTTAAAATGTTAAGTAGACTGCCTACATACTTTTTGAAAATGACATTACAGGGATTATATACAACTACCAAATATTTTTGTTAGCAAGGAAGCATTAACAACTAAATCCTTTTCTTCTTATACAGCACTTTTTTTCCCCCTCTTTATGTCAATCTAATCTTCTGAAAGTAAACTCAAGTGCATGCATGAACTGGTATGAGGTAGCAAAGTATAAAAGCTCAGGTGTTCTCTGACACGGTACCATTCAGCTGGAAGTATGGACATCTTTAAGGACAGGGAAAGCAAAACAGAGCAAGGGAATAAAGTATTCCCCCCTGAAACAGAATATGGATGGAATAACAGTTGGGTATCACCCTTAGATGGAGATAATAACTTGAGGCTTCTGCCTGCTTCGTGTCTGTGCCTGTTGGCTCTGCGTTCACTGTTCCTGCCACGGCTGTGTTGTGACAGGGCCCGCTGCTCCCGTGCGCGCCGTCGGTCCCCTCGCACTGCGCTGATGGAACATCTCTCTGGAGGTTGCACAGCTCCATGCCTTCATGTTGCTCGTTGCCATGAAAGTACGCTTTTAGCAGACTGACTGTGAAATGGAGACATTCCTGAGGAATGGGAAGTGGTGACGTTCCTCTCTATTGTTCTGTTGTCAATAAAAAGTTTTCTATACCTGCCTTGTCTTGTTACTTCTGCTCTTCTCTGAAAAAAATAATCACATCAACAGAGTTGTTACAGGAGAGACGTTTAATGCACAGAAATTGTTTAGCCTAAACTCTTTTTACATAGCAGGTAGTAGGCTGAACTTGCTCAATTTCCTTGGCTCCCAGACCTGTGACTTTACTGCCATTTTCATTCAGAGTCTCCTCCTATGTCTTCTGTGCCATGGTTGTGTTTTGGATTTTTCTTCTCCATCTCTTATGACTTCTCAAGCAGCTGCAGTGCCAGAGATAACTTCATAGTCATGAGACTGAAATAACAGGGCCATGGTTAGGCTGCCACTTTCTAAAGCAGGGCAGCTGCCTGTGAGAGTGGCTGCTCACCTACACTGAATTTCATCCACTGTTTAGAAAACTTGCAAATTCACACGAGCCTAAAAACTGTGACGGCAATCTAACTTTGGAGAAAGTGAGCTGAGACTCTTTAGTTCATTAGTATAAATGTAGCCTCTTTACCCCCATAGACTAATGGGTCTAGTCTCTCCAGCACCTTGAACAGTGTAGCTTCTGCTACTCATGGTTCTACTTCCCACCAGTTGTAGGAATTTGAGCAAGGATCACAGGAAGACCAGCACAGTAACTACTGAGGTGAGAAAATTACTGGGTAGGCAGCAAACTTCCACTGCAGGTTGTCTTCAGGAGTTTTGCCTCCTAAATTTGAGGTCTCTGTTAGTATATGTTGGTTGCAGGAGTTTTTCAGTGTATGTTAGTTTTCAAATATGAACAGATTTTCAAGATTGCAAGAAGTTGTTCTGTGGTGGGGGGGCTTGGTGATATTTGGGTTTTGCTGGTTATTCCTCCTAGCTCTGTCACTGTAACATTTAGGACTGGAAAAATAAAAGACCCATTTAATGAGAATTACCAGAATATTTTAAATTAACCTTCCCCCACCTTTCCTGTTACTATTCAAAATAAGTGAACCTTTTGGGACAAAATGTTCTGTTAAAAGAAAGCAGTTTGTCCCCTGAGGGTTGTCTTTAATTGCTTATGGCTCTGCCTGAGTAAGGATTCTGTAAAAAACCTAAATGTTTGCTTTATTGGCATTGTCTGAACTTCTTCCACTTGTTAGCCTTAAATGTCAAAGGTCTCATGCTGCCCCTAGTGAAGTTTCAGATAAAATCTTTGTACTTTATTTAAAATATTGGCTCGTGTGTTCTTAAACAAAAGAAATCAGTGGGCTGAAGGTACCTGGCTGCCTCTATATATGTTCTCTGCAGATCAAGCATAAAGCTAATTGGTATTGTGCCTATATTTGGTTCTGAAAGATTCCTTTCTAGAACTCTAAATTAGGCAAATTGTTCTTGTATCTTCTAAGCAAGGTGAATAAAGGGAGCTCCGTAAGAAAAGCTGCTCAGTCTTCTGTTAGTCTCTTCCTACTCCCCTGCTGCACCAAGAAGAAAAACAATCCTGCTATTACTGTACATGAAAGTATATTCTGGTTAGGGGAACTAAAGGCAGTGTTTGAATGGATTTGGGGCTACAAAAGGTGAGGAAGCTGATGGATTTAAAGATTAAAAACTATCCATGAAAAAATCTATTGTGAAGACAAGGAGGAGTTTTTTTAATATATTGTGGGAATTCATTGCTACGTAGGGGATGATAAGATGATTCAAAAAGATTCTGCAGAAAAGTAGGTTTGTCCCTCTCTGTTGTGACACTGTTAGTTCCAGGACTCACTGGTTCTATGTTTTAGTACGTTTATGAAGGTGAGTATAATGCATTCCAAATGTTTTAAGCGATTTCCCATTTGGAACTTGCTGAGTATGATATTTAAGTAAACCATGAAGTACCAGCAGAGGTTCATGGAGCAGAAGGTCACTGAAATGTTGATAGAGCAAAATGATTGCCATGCCACTGATCTGACGTGGAATCACAGAAGTTCCTGCATCAAATGTAAATACTGATGAATAACAGGAATGAAGGCAACCAGATTTCAAGGAAACTGGCTCACTGATTTTCTGAGTGCATTTGGTTAATGTTTCTAGTAAATACATTCAGATCCATAGCTAATTTGGTTTACACTATGAAATTGATCAACAAAGGCCCAGAGGAGCGTGGTTGTTGAATAAAGCTATTCAGGTCCTGGATGTCAGCAGCGTACACTGATATATCATGTGTTAACTAATTCAAATGAATGACCATGAATGAGTAATCATTTTTCCAGAGAAGCTGTTTCTAAGGTTTAGCTTAGAAGCTGTTTTAAGGTTTCCTTAGGTGTAATGCTGGCCAGTTTTCATCCATACAGATAAGCTGTAGGAAAAGAGGATTCTGCTTACAGAGTTAGTAACAAGCAAGTCAGTGGCAAACAGCCTCTGTCTTGAGAGGCATCTGCACTACATGCTGAACTTGAACGTCCATCACACTTCCAGTTTGGTGAAAGACTTCCTTAGGCTGAAGATTTTCATTTCCCAGAAACTTGTGAGTATGAACCATTCTACTGCAGAGCTGAGTGACTTGAAACAGTGATTTAGCACTTGGTGTCAAGGGCCAGCACCATGGCAGTGGTCAGTCTGGTTCCCTTGCAGCCCTGGGATTGCATGTGCTCGCTACTGCCTCCCTCAGTCACCCCTTGTCAGGCTGGTCTGTGCCCTTTTCACCATCCCACAGAAGCAGAAGGCTGTTTTTCCTACCATTTAAATACTGTTTGCAAATAGGACTGTTTGCTGCGTATTTGAATATTTCCATTCCCAAAACTACTGTGACTGTGGCCTTATGCTGCTGCTCCTTGCCCTGCACTTTTACAGAGTTTTTTCCCCGTTCCATAACACCTGAGAGGCCTCTTCAGGAGATGGAGGCAGTACAGTGGAGTCCTGCTGAAGTGACAGCAGCTGTAGCAGAGCGTGTGCCTTGTAGGATCATGTGGGTTGTTCTGAAAGGCATTTGCACCTTCCCTTTAACTACACTGCAAAGCAAGGGGAAGTGGTGATGGGGAAGAAGCAGCTTCAATGTTTAATAGGCAACAAGGACCTTGGTAGGTTTGATCCCTTGCCAACAGATGAATGCACTTAGTTGATCTGAGTTATCTCAATCAGGTGAGTTTTCAAAGAAGTTTGGGATCATTAAGTGTGCTGTTGGATAAAATGGCAGGGTGGCTCTGGGGAACTGGTAATGGGGTGTTGCCAAGGGGTTATGGTCTCAGTCCCCCTGCAGGTAGGTGTTTGCCAGCCTTAAGGACTCAACTCCAGGGCTTGAGGAACATCCTGGGCAGAGCAAGCTCCCCAGGCCATGCCAGTATTGCTCTTGTCCCAAGGATGAATATATGACTCAAGTCTTAGGGGTCAACAGGTATCTTATAAACGTCAAAGTTAAAAATTCACCATGACTTTGTATTTCCTCCCTGGAATAGGCAGGCATAGCTGTTGCCACAGTGGCTGGTGATAACCTATCAGCGCAGTGTCTGCTTGCACGTACTTCAAATATCTGACGTACTAGCGGTGGCTGGTTGGGAGCATTTTTCTTTTGAATGCCGTGGACTTGAGGTTTTCAGACAGGCATTTAGCAGTGGTACATTTTTGTGGGATTGTAAAAGGTGTTGTGTAAACCACACCAGTGTGACTAAGGAGCTTTATTATAGTTGCTCTGTCATGGGAAATATTTGTGTCCTTGAAAATTTCAAGGAGACCGGGCAAAAGAATGGTATGGAAACTTGCCTTTCACAGGAAGAAAAGAGTTTCAGGTTGATGACATGAC